CACATAGAAAGCTGGTTTTTGGGAAGTAGTAGATACCGAGAGGTTGATGACTGGTGAGAACGATGTACAATGAGGCAGGCATATGACAGAGTTCTTTAAGAAGCCTTATATAACATATATAGTGAACGCCTTTCACCGAACTAGCCCGGCTAGCTCAATCGGTAGAGCGTGAGACTCTTAATCTCAAGGCTGCGGGTTCGAGCCCCGCGTTGGGCTTTCTTTTTTTGATTTTCGATTTTGCCAAGCAGCAAATCTTCTAGCTACATGAAAGCTATTTTCTCCCCTTACCTATTGGTGTCAGCGACCATACATCAATTATCATGTGAAAACATCAAATTGTTGGATTCTCATCGGATCAGCTATTCTCCTTTTTCAATTGTCTATTTTTTTCGGGCCCCATTCCTCGTAACCTTGCGAGTGCCCGCTGGTGATCACCCCACCAGAGAATCTGGGACAGTTGCAGAGGTTATGGACGAGGTGACAAAATACTACTGTTTTATGGTGGTCAAACCAACTCATTAGACAGACGATCCGAAACTCATAATCTATCATCGAATTAAAGCTCTCAAGACCCTCAAATTGCATTTCAACACCTCTTCCTTGAGGGCCCTATCTCAACTAATAACGTCATCAGTGGTAAGGAATGATGTCAGTTAAAGAAATTGCCGGGTCAACTTCGTGTTTCTGTAACGATGGGAGAGGGGAAAGTGCTTTCCAAAGCAAGTATCGGCATTATCCTGGAGAAGACGTAGGAAATATACTAGAGACTCGTATATAGTTTGAATTCGAACCAGTCCACCTCGTATTCTATAATAGTCGGATCAAACCCGCCAATACGATACTATCCAATCTCTACTACCCTAGTATATCCATCCTAACACTAGATAAGGATCAGATTCAAGATCTTCTAATTGACCAACCTGACCGAGCCAAGCTTTCAACACCAAGTAAGTCGGCGATATAGTGGGTTCCCGAGAGGTCCTTTCCCTGCGGGGGTTTGCCCTCATTTGTAAGCACTCCTTCCCCTCGATCGACAACTTCATAATCGTACTCAATCCACACCATATCGCCATTCTCTAACTTGGACTTCGAATACCCCAATTCCAACAAACCCATTCAAACCATAAGTCACCATGTCCACCCAATCCTCCCAAACAGTCTACCACTACCTCGACATCGGCCGTCTAGGTCGCGGTGAAGTCGTCAGGTCAGCTAACATCCATCTCCACACCCGACCCCGCATCTCATACCATCAATATCCACCTAACCACAGAATATGATATATGGGAACAGACTCTTCCTCAAAGACGCCGGCATCGAGTTCAGCGAAGTCCGCTACGCGTATGATGAAAACTGGCCGCAGGTTAGCAAGAAGCTGCAGGAGCAGGGTATCACTCGAACTGGGCTGGTCCCTGCGCTTGAGTATAAGGGGAAGATTCTGACGCAGGTGCGCATTGTCTTCTGTTCAATGTGTTTGTTATCATCGTATGAATAGTCTAATACGAGTCTAGCATATCCCCACCCTCCGCTACCTATCCCGCGACCTTGGCCGCTACGATGGCGAAACGAGCTGGGAGAAGTATATCGTTGATGCGGTAGCTGATGTTTATATTGATTGGAGAGTAAGTAGCCCCTCCCTCTTCCATCTTCTATTGCTAGTACTCACCGTAATATAGAGTGAATGGGTTTCTAATTTCATGCAACCCTCTGAGAAATACAAGAACGAGTCCACAGCCAAGTACTACGATGTTGTGGGGAAGTACTATGCCGAGACGGAGGGTCCGTATCTTCTAGGGGATAGAGTCACGTATGCCGATTTTGCTATCTATCAGATTATGGATAATGATCGGAGGACGGGGACTATTGTGGTATGTGTATTCTTCCTTCCTTTGCATTATTTCTTCGAGGGTATAAAGAGGGCTTACTTTTATTCGTTGGCAAGGCAAATCTTCCCGAGTCGCTTGTTAGGTTTACAGATGCTTTTGAGAAGAGGGAAAATATTGCGGCGCTCATTAAGGAGACGAAGTAGAGGTAGTTACTGGTTCCCATTGAGTCAGACGGATGTGAGTGCCCAATGATGGGGCGGGGGTCAGATTTAATCTGCGTTTCATGTTCTACTCTCCCAAGTTGACACGGCGTAAATAAGTCGGCAATGTAAGCAGGGACTGATAAAAGGACTCGAGAGCCGTTTTGTGTACAGATTGTAGCAACTTTTATATCTCCATCTATCATAACTCATGTCATCTCAATCCCGATTAATCTCCACCACCGGTCCCGTATACTCCTTCCTAGCCCAAATAACATAATACACCGTACTAATCAGACTCGTACCCACGGTACCAACAACGGCCCAATTCATCGTACTAGCCGTCGGATTCATCTCATCCGGCCAGAAGCTGAAGAACACGCCCACGATCAGGTAAGCAATGGTAAAAGCATTCACTGAAACACCCAATATGCCACGCATCCTGAAGGGGCCCCAAGCAAGAGGCGCGCCTGCCGTATTAACAACTGTGTCTGTGGGTGCATCGGATGGTTCGCGAATACCGCCCGTGAGGCGCTGCCACATCAGAAGGAAGGCTGAAATCAGGTAGGAAGAGTAGAGGGCGCTGACGCAGAGAGAGACAACGTCGTTAAGGACCGCTGCTGAGCCGAGGATGATCAGTGCCAGCAGGACGGCTGCGCTTGTTACGACGAGGATGGACCATTGGGGCACGGCTTGGGCGTTGACCTGGGGTTGGATTAGTGCTCTGTTCTATGAGTATGGGAATGGGAGACGTACCCTGCTGAGCACTTGCCATCCGGGGAGACCACGGTCTCGGGCGAAGGACCATGCCATGCGAGAAGATGATGCCAATGAGCCTACAGCGGTGGCGGTGACTAGGATGGGGACGATGGCTGACATGACGGTACATCCTCCGAGCGATTTGGTGGCTGAGCAGAAGATTTGCATGTAAGGGTATCCTGTGGGTGAGGCCAATGCGGCTGTAGCGTCCGTCATAGTAAACAATGTGGACAGAATCATTCCAAAGCCCAGAGCCCCGTTGATCAGGACCGACGTGAGGATGGACTGCGGAACAACGCGCTCTGCATCGTAGATTTCTTCGCTCATCTGCCCAGTTGTATGTCAGTCAGGTAGAGGAGATTTCAGGCTGACGGTGATGAAAACTTACGTGAACGGCCGCATCCACACCGGTAAAAGCAAACATGTTACCAATCATACCGACCATGAAAGCTAATCCCTGGGTTTGGAAACCGCCATCATTGGCAAACTGCCCAAAGACCTCAGAAGCAGAGTTGTGATCTCCCAGGTAAACCAACGGGATGATGATTCCGAAGAACCCAAACACATGCAAGATCAGGACAAGACCTTCGAACTTGGGCAACAAGGTGCTTGTAATAACATTGACGAACACAGCAAAAGCCACAATGGCCCAGAACAGAAGCATTGTTTGCCAGGGCTCAGGGGTATAGGACGAATGGTTCAGGACCACCAAGCCCAGAATTTGAGAAGCACTTAGGTAGCAGGTTGATGCAAAGGCTCCCAGCCAACCAATGACAATTAGCCATCCTAAAGTAGCTATATTAGTACGGTAAGCAGCGAAGAAACCTGGGTAAATACACCAACCTGTGAGAAAGCTGAGATACTTCTGGCACCATCGCGGGGACATCATCGACACCCAGTGGTACTGTCCTCCGGAAGTAGGGGCCCTTCAGATGAGTTTAGATAAGATTATGGCCATATAACAGGCCAGGAAACTTACATCGAAACCAGCTCAGACAGCGTGAGAAACGTCGAAAAGGTACCCAGCCAGACGACCAGGAAACTATAGACCGTTCCAGCAGGACCTCCACTGTTGACATCGTTAGGTTAAGGTGTCTCTTCATGTAGAGTCGTTACATACTCCTCAAACGGTACAGTAAAGGTCCTAAGCATCAGTTAATAAAGACACGAGGCACCATCTTTCCGTCAACCGGGAAATACGCACGACAAAATGCCCTCCCAGGATGCCAGAACCGTACAACTGAAACCTAATATGGACAAGAAACCAAACCGACGCTGTAAGCACTGGTAAGCCACTGCGGAAACACAATCCTAAGGTTATCACGCACCTTCAAGATCTGTTTCTTGCCCACGCGGCCCAGTCCCTGCTCATCATTGATTTGAGACTGACTGGTGTTGGCGGCCTTAAAATCCAGATTCCGGTCGCGCAACTCAATCGGCGGCCCCATTGTGGCGTTGACTTATGTGTGCAAATGCCCGAAGTCCACCCCTTCAACTGCGGGAGGTAGAAGCAAGAGCAGAATGTGTAGGAATCCGAAAACAAAGCTTGTTCCTTCGGTTAACCCCTCCCGTCTTCTGATCCCTGCCTTATCCGGTGTAAAATTGGCTTAGCTGCATATGCAGGACGGAGAAAAAGGAAAAAAGGGGGAGAGGAGACAAAAGACCGCAACCGAATTGACAGGGCTCGTTTGAATTTTTCCATGACGGACACTGGTCAATGTGTCTAAACTCCATAGAAGGAAACCCATTTTATTAACCGGAGAAACTTGACGAGGGGCGGTAGAATGTCAAGCTGCAGAGCGCCACCCGATAGTTAGCATTGTTAGGACCACTAACATGGCCTAACAGGATCAAACACCGCGCAATCCTGCTGGATCCCTGGGCGGGTTGCATGTCTTTAGTGGCGGGTCCACCCTGTCCGGTGCCTTACTAGGGAGAGTTAAGCTTCCACTTCCGGGATGCTAGGCTTCGTGCCGTCGGATTACGGGCCAGCCTCCGGTCCGAAACTAGAGATGTTAGACAAGCAAACAAAAAATTATAGCTCCACAGTCCGGGAAAGCTGAGGCAACTTGAAAACCTTAAAAAGTGCCAGGTGCTCTCAGCGAACGGCTGGAGATCGTCCAACCCGCTGCTTCTTTCCGGGATAATTTGAATCTGGATGTGGAATACTTCGACCAGTCGTAATGCTTGTAGATAGTACCGCGTAAGACGATCCCTAATGGCTAATTGATTCGTGTAGTCCATGACTGCCATTGGACTCACTGTCTATCGGTTGGTTTGTCGCAGCATCCGGGTTATACTGCTCTTCTACGACCCAGGTTCTAGTCTCTCGAATGATATGATCCTGGCTGGAGTGGCTCATAGTATCGTCCCAATCCTGCTGTTCCCTCCCTGCGGAGACAGCGGTGCTGTTGGCTACCCCAACGTGCCCGCTAAGCTCGTGTGCAGCAGCCTTCGCTTTGCTCACGCGAGTGTACTCTCCGCGCTCAGACGTCTCGCCTGGAAGGTAGTATAATCGGAGCCCAGTGGACTGTAATCCGTCCATGAACGGCTTCAGGTGCGGAGCGCAGGCCATGACAATTGACAGACACTGTACTAGCTGGACGCAGACGGCAGCCTTCCAAATTGCCAGCAAGGGGTCTAAGGCGTGATTGTTTTGATGGCGATATACAAGCTCAAGAATGATCGCAACGATGACCCTGTCATTATATAAGCATCAGTTACTATCCACGAACGTCGAACGGGTTGTCACCAGCTAGCATACAAGAAGCGAGTGAGAAAGCAGGCGATGGCAACTATTTTCCTAGGAACCGCCATTTGAATCCGGAGTATGAGCATACTAGGTACTAGAATCAGGGCGACTTCACTTAGGATGTTGAACGCCCCGAAAACCATCCACCATGCATCCTGACCATGAAGTTAGTATGCGTTCTTCGGATATGGTGAGTGCATAGTATCTCACTCGATTGAAACACCTCTTCTGATTCCATCTCCACGGCTGCGGAAGATTGCATTGGAAAGCTACGGCGAATTCCGCCGCCACGGCCCAGGCGCTGATCAATGCAATGAGTACCCATTCAGCCTTGCGGGTGCGCTGCATGAGAAATGTCATAAATGCCAGGGCGCTCAATTTGGAGAAAGTCAAGCTTGCCACGTATAGCATTTCTGCGGCATAGACAGACTGCACTACGTCAGCGACAAATTTAGCAGGAGAATTTGGATAGTGTACCTTCAGAGCTATATCAATTCGCTCCTGTGAGGAAGCACTTTCTGCCTCTCCATAGCCATTACGCGCGGCAATGGTAATACATATTGTCTGTAGCACACTGAAGGCCTGCGTTGGAGTTAGGGCTTGAAACGCCAACGGAAGTGTTGACACTCACCATTGACACAGAGATCAGGTGATCATCTACCGTGAGTTTTCTAGTGATGGCATATTTGATGCCCAGCCGTGCAGCCCCGGACAATGTCGAGATTACGGCGAAAAGCAAGGCTAGGATCCCTATGATAGGGGACCGATTGGCGTCAGTGACCGCAACCATGACTGCCACATCTGTTGCTGGCCTGCATCCCCTCGAGTCTGGGACCAGAGAGAGCAGCCAGGCTCATAAAAGGGAACAACGCATCGTAGTAGCAAGGCGACCTGAAGGATTCGTTCGATCTTTTTTTATTTGAATCTTGTTGGATTATTAGCAATCTCAGCCCGGCGATCTTAACCCCGATGAAGGATCGGGGTGGAGGCGTCTAAATCCGCTAGGGCCGCAGTAGTCAGCCCACCAACCGGCGCCGTCTCATGGCTTACATGACGCAGTGTTTTCTCCCTTGCGTGCCGCACTTTGATATAGGGGCCAAATTGCTAGGGAGTGAGGCACACAGTTCAGGAGAGACCCCTGAAATTGGAGGCTCAATCAAGCCGCCGACTTATCCCACACATGCTTCGAAGACTGTTTGCTGACTGATGGACATTCAAAGACCCCGGACTTTTGCCCGGGCCTTGTCTAATTGACGCAAGTTCAATAGGACAGTGATATAGTGCTGGTGGGGTTGTCTCACAAGCTGGAGAGGCCGGGCCATGGGCTAACCTCGGGGAATCTCTCGGGTGTGGTGGTGTCAAACTCAAGACAGGCTGTTTTGTCTGAACCTTCACCCCCCTCCTCCCTCTTTGCACGTTATCACTACTCCGTACTATTACTGTCTTGACAACCATTTCGCGTCGATCTTCCCAGTATGGTGGCAAGTACTGTTCAGGAGGGAACAGCTCCGTTTCATTATGATAGTCTTCCCCAGCCTGCCCAAACGTGGTACCGAGTCTATGGCGACATCAAGGCAGGCACACCATTAGTAGTCCTGCATGGCGGCCCGGGCTTTTGCCACAACTACATGCTGCCCCTGGCTGCACTGGCTTCCGATCGTGCCGTGATTCTGTATGACCAGATCGGAAATGGATTGTCCTCCCACTATCCGGAGAAACGCGGCGATCAGGGGTTTTGGACGGTCGACCTATTCATCGCAGAGTTGGAAAACCTGCTTCAGCATCTGGGTATTGCTGGCCAATTTGATCTGCTGGGTCATTCCTGGGGCGGGATGATGGGGATGGATTTCGCCGCTCGTCAGCCGGCTGGACTGCGCCGTCTGATCCTATCAAACTCTCCGGCCTCGGTCGCACTGTGGCTTGAATCGGTCAACCGACTCCGCGCTACCCTACCTCAAGAGATTCAAGACACACTGCAGAAATGTGAAGCAGAAGGGCGGCTCGATTCGAAGGAATATGAAAATGCAACGGTGGAATTCTTATCCCGATTCTGTTGCCGGACGCAGCCATGGCCCGAAGAGCTTATGCAAAGTCTCGTCTGGACCACGGAGAAGGATTCTACCGTCGCTGCCAGCATGTATGTTGCACAATTTCCCGAATTCTTTATCCGTCTACCATTATACACTGTGGTTTTCATAATGCCACGTGCTAACGGCAGCAGGCTCGGTCCCTCCGAATTCTGGGTCGAAGGGTCTCTTAAAGATTGGAGTGCACTGGACCGCATTCATCGGATCCAGGTTCCCACACTGGTGATCAATGGTAAATATGATGAAGCGCAGGGCAGCGCCGTGGAACCGCTCTTCTGGGGTATTGATAAGGTGAAGTGGATCACCTTGTCGGAGGGTTCGCACTGCCCGCAGTTCGACGACCGCGAGAAGTACCTGCAGGTTGTTGACGAATTCTTGGGCCGCGCATAGTGTTGGGGGTGTTTCTTCGAGAGGGTCGCTTGTCGGATTTAGGTTTGAGCTATAGGGGCCTGAAGAAAGTGCGTGCCGTTAGTTTCAGTTGGTTGCAGGAAACCAACCGACTAGTATGAGATGGTTGATGTGCTAATGTGAACCGATTTATGACCATTGTTCATTTTGGCACTAGCCTGCTTGACCGGCTTCTTACTGTGAACGAATGCTCGTAAACGCTGAGTATGCTCTCAAATAGAATAATGAGTGTATGACTAGCAAGGTAAAGAGAAGATGTGGGGGTGTAATCCTTCGGCGGTGGTGAGAAAGCTTCTCTAGTCCGTTCTACAATGTGGGCATTGCTGTCTCGACAGTGCTTTCTGTACAGGGAAGGACAGCACTGCTGATCACATCACACTTGTAGTAGTTACGTATTGACAAAAATGAAGGTGTGCACTTGACCTGCCTTGTAAACAGACGATATACTCCCTGCTAGCTAGCATTGTACAGCTAAGACTGTATTTGGTAGTGTTATCAAAAGGTGCAAAAAGATATGACAAGAGTGGGATTCGAACCCACGCCCCTTTCGAGACTAGGAATGTTCTGAAGAACATGGAATGATCAGGTGACCTGACCCTAGCGCCTTAGACCGCTCGGCCATCTTGCCGGTTGATGAAAATCAGTCACTAATAAGTGTTATATGATCTAGCAGTTATATCTGTGAAAAAGCACTTCACGCGGTTGGCGATGAAGGCTGGGTAGTCATGATTTGGACTGTGAACCTAAATTCTTGCATGTAGAAGCACCTATAAATGTTCTGCTTTGATACACATGTTTTAATATGTTATTTTATGTGCGTTTACTTTGTTGGTGCTGGTGTTGGGACAAGTGGCTGATTGACCTTTGGCTTGGTATATATACCCATATACTTGTCACGATCCAATTCTGGTGCGCTTCAGATGTGAATCGTCCGGTGTTGCTAACCACTAGACTAACCAGTAAAAGACTAGAATTCTGAGCACGCGCATCACTTATAAGCTTCAATTCAATCGATTCGTTGTCATGTGACACGCTGTCACAATACTACTACGGGCAACGGTCCTTCGATTCTAAACCAGCATCACCCACCCTTCACTTGATCCGTTGAAAGCATGGGTAACCTGGCCGATAGTATGCAAAAGGCATGCTCGATTTAAAACAGGAGTAGAATCTGCAGGATTTACATTGCATCAGCATAAAAGCCAAGCTATGTGGTCCCCGAAGGCTCCGCCAACAGTGTATAGCAAATCCACTCACCAACAGGATAGACGCCACCTGGAATGCTCTGATTAAGCACCTGCATCGAGAAAGAAAGTACTACAAGTGTATACAAACACTACAAAGGCACTACCAAAGAGACAGAGCTACGGTGGCCCAGCAATACTAGATTCCCCGTGCCATGTTTAATTTCCAGCCGACGGCAAGATGCCCAACCACACCGCAGCGACAACAATGGAAGGTCCTACATAGAACAAACGATCGTCGGAGTTAGAGATCTACTAGAAGGAAACATAAGAACGGCATAAAAAGAAATAATACATCGTGTACAAAGTATTGCCTGGAAAAAAGTAAGCAATAGACTAGTAGACCTGTTCGCATAATACCCCACTGCATGGGCTGTGGACCTCCCACTGCACAGCAGAGTTGCTCGGTCGCATCTTAATTGTTAATGTTATGGCATACTCTTGGATTATGTATCGTAAAGTTGCTGCCCCCTTCAACAATTGGGCAAGATGGCCGAGCGGTCTAAGGCGCTAGGGTCAGGTCACCTGATCATTCCATGTTCTTCAGAACATTCCTAGTCTCGAAAGGGGCGTGGGTTCGAATCCCACTCTTGTCATTACTTTTTCTTTCCTCTACATCCATACAACTCGTTCCTCTCCCTCACTCTTTTATCTTTCTTTTGTCCTTTTCCCTCCTTACTCCTCTCACTTCCAATTCGACAGCAATACTACATGACCCCTACGTCCATTAGCCGAATATCTAAATATCAGGCTGTTCATTTCCTTCCCAACGGTGCTCTTTGTCTCGCATCGCATCGCCGGTTCACAGCGGCAGTGGACAATGAAGTCACGGGTATCTCTTATCGATAACCTTCTTTTAACCCACACGCCAGCGGAACATGACAGCTTGTAGGCCCGTGCAGTCATGTAAGTGGTCTTTGGTGGCATTCGTTCCGCACCCTCTTTTATTTGAGGGAATGAATATCTAAGAGGGCCACTGTAAAGAATGTTGCCGAGACCTCCGAAGACCAACAATTCATATCTCACTAGATCAATGAATTACGAGCGCGCTGATAGAGGTTTGCGGGGAACAGGGTATCATTTTATGATCGCAGCCCCAACTAGCTAAGCACAAAAAGCCGGAACCCAAAGGTAACGGAGAAACAAAGATGCCCGTCCAGTGAGCCCTAGAAACGCAAGAAGAGACAAAGTAGCCTGAGAAGAAGAAGGGGGGAAAAATGGAAATACATTGATGCCCACCCACCCAACCCTGAAGAGGCGAGGAGAATGCAAGACGAAAACACCAGAGTATAGGAAATACAAATTTGCCCACCCACCCAGCCCTAAAAGGAGCGAGGAGAATGCAAGAAAAACATAGGAAGATACAAAGATGCCCGCCCACCCAACCCTAAAAGCAATGAACAGAACGCCTGCAAAACGCAAGAGAAAAAAAATAAGAAAACAAAGATGCCCGCCCACCCGACCCGGAAAAAGGAGAACAGAACGCCCACAACGCAGCTCTAACTACAGCAGACACTCGACATAGGCAAGGAAAAAACGCCAGCATAACATAAGAAAAAAAACAAAGATGCCCACCCACCCGACCCGGAAATAGGAAAACAAAACGCCCACAACGCAGCTCTAGATACAATACAGTCTCGAGACACGCAAAGAACCGAGCGCCAAGCAACGCAGCTCTACTTACAACAGAGACTCAACACATGCAACGAAAAGGCAAGAAGCAAGCAAGCACTATATACAACAGAATCTCGACACATGCAAGGAAATAAACGCCTGCAAGAAAAGCAGCTCTACGTACAAGAGGTATCTCAACACATGCAAAGAAATGAACGCCAGAAAGCAATGCGACTCTATATACAAAAGAGTCTCGAAACATGCAAAGAAACGAACGCCAGCCAACGCAGCTCTAGTTACAACAGAGACTCCACACATGCAAGGAGAATGAACGCCAGAAAGCAATGCAGCTTTACTTACAGCAGAGACTCAACACATGCAAAGAACAAACGACAAGCAACGCAGCTCTATGTACAAGAGATATCTCAACACAGGCGAATGAAAGGGAAAGCAACGCAGCTTTATATACAATAGAGTCTCAGCACATGCAAAGAAAAGCAAGAAGCAAGCAAGCTAGCGAGCAGGCAAGCCAGCAAGCAAGCACTATATACACCAGAATCTCGACACATGCAAGGAAATAAACGCCATGAAGCAAAGCAGCTTTATGTACAATAGAGTCTCGACACATGCAAAGAGAAGCAAGGAGCAAGCAAGCATTATATACAACAGATTCTCAACACATGCAATGAAAAATGAACGCCCAATGCCAATCGCCAAAGAGAAAGGAAAGACAAAGGAAACCCCCCCAACCACCGCCCCCCGGATCCCCCGACGAACAACCCCCGCGAACCGTTTCCGACCCAATTCCATCGATCGCCTCTGTCGCGCCCCCGGGATACCGTGGCCCTACCGACACCCCTTGCCCGCTGGCTAGCTGCTGACATACTGACCGTGTATGTCGTCGCTCGGGCATCCTTTGAACCGCCGGCCAGATCGATACCCGGTAAGCGTGGATGGCAACTTCACCAAGCTTTGCTGCCCACACAAAGCCCAGATCCGCCGCCAACCTTGAACGCTATCAGGTCGATTGCCTCTGTCATTCTCGGAGATGCCTCTGCTCAGACACCCGGGGTACCGGAAACTAGTGTCGCAGCGGGGTCGGAAATGCCGGCGGCTCGTGAGCATCCGAGGGTTAGCCGGTACGAATCGATGTTGGTGAATCTGTCGCCGGCTCGATCATTCGTGGATGGCGTTCAATGTCGTCTCTCGCTCGGACCTGTGACCTGGCCATTAGCAGTAAAGGGCCCCGACCTGGCTCCAGCACAGCCAAGTCGGGGGCAATGGATAAATATACAAAAATAAAATATACAGGAAAACGAAAGTGTTCAAGGAAAAGCCTGCAACAAGGATAAAAGAAAGGGGAAAAAGACTAGTACCAACAGCAACGGTGGATATCGCGCGCTTTGATAATCCACCGACTAACGGTAATGACTGTGGTGACCTCGCTAAACTGGACACTCTTCACCGACTTACCCTTGCGAGCCGCGGACTTCGCAGCCGAAGCTGCTCCATCCTCGGTGGACGCAAGGGCTGCATCGGATCGAGCCCTGGCCTCGCGGGATCGGTAATACGCCTCCCGCAACGCCTGCAGGCGAGACGGACGACTATTACCAGAAGGAGTGGACGTGGTCCGAGGAGCCACAGGAGAAGGAATGGACGTGGTCCGAAGATCCACGGGGGAACGAGTGGATGGGTGCTTTTCGTCGAACCTTTTCAGGAACGACGCACCCGCTGAAAGGGGACGGGGAGAGGGAATGGACGTGGCCTGAGCCACAGAAGGAGAGGACGTGGTCCGAGGAGCCACAGGGGAACGAGAGGAAGGGTGGGATAGATGAACGAGTGGACGTGGCCTTGGGAGCCACAGAAGAACGAGAGGCAGGGGCGGGGATGGAAGAACGAGTGTGGGTTGGGTGTTTCTCGTCGAACCTTTTCAGGAACGACGCACCCGCGGAAAGGGAAGAGGAAGAGGGAGAGGACGTGGTCCGAGGAGCCACAGGAGAACGAGAGGAAGGGAGGGGAATAGAAGAACGAGAGGACGTGGTCCGAGGAGCCACAGAAGGAGAAGAACGAGGGGAAGTGGCGCTATGGCCGTTGGCACTAGTCTTTTGGGGGGCGGAAGGAGAGGACGTGGTCCGAGGAGCCACAGGGGAACGAGCGACAGGGACGGGGATAGAACGAGTGGAAGTTGGGTGTTTCTCGTCGAACCTTTTCAGGAACAACGCACCCGCGGAAAGGGGACGGGGAGAGGGAACGGACGTGGCCTTAGCCACAGGGGAACGAGGGACAGGGGTGGGAATGGAAGAATGAGAGGACGTGGTCCAAGGAGCCACAGGGGAGGGAGTGGACAAGTGCTTGCTTGTACGCAAGTACTTGGGGGCAGTGGGGGCAGGCACCCCAGAACGAGAGGACGTGCTCACCATGGTGGGCACAGACGGAGCGGAACGAACAGAAGGACGTGCTGGATCCTTCTGACCGCTGGGGGGGAGAGAGGAGGAAGAGGAGGGGGAGGACTGAGGTACACGCAGACGGGCCATCTGGTGTCCTCGACGAGCAGAGGAACAAGGATCCATATCGGAGGTGGGGGGGGACAGGTAAACCAAGACAATAAGAGAACAGCAGAAACCGCAAGGACTCTGAATCAGTAGTGGTATGAGGAGGGAAAAAGAAGAAGAGAGGATCTCAAGGGGACGAGAAGAGAAGATATAGGAGACTGAAAAGATTGCACAGGAAAGAGCATTGTAGGGAAGGAAGCAGGAACATTATGAAGCTGAAGGAGGAGTGTCTGTAGCTCTTTCCTCGAATACCTTGAATTGTGATGACGGAGCCGTTAGGTTGGTGGTGTAATAATCTAGATTGTCTAGTAAATCCGGTATGTATTCATCTATACGACCTTTCCATATGAAACAGATGTCTCCAAGTGCATCATTTCTCCAAGGGAAATCCATATCCAACCAAGAAAGCAGGCTCGTCAATGCTGTGGTGCTGGTAGCTACAGACACCATTAGCGATCCATTCATATAAAACAGGAAAGAACATACCTAAGAACTCCCACAGCACCAGGTTCCAGCATCATGGACAACGGAAACTCCATCGGATAGCCCAACCAGCGCTTGGTAAACGCCCGGAGCGTATGGCCATGCGCAATGAGGACAACATCGGAGGGCGCCTCTCCGTGCATGTTTCCCCGATGAAGAGCTCTGATCTCTTCGATCAGGCTATCAATTCGGGCCGTAACATCCGCAGGTGATCTGAGCTGTTAGCCTCTCCAACAGAAAAGAACCGGATCTAACATGTTTATAGGAATGACTTACTCTCCCTCCTCACATCCATCCCTCCAGATATCCCACGCCCTATCACCATCGAGGCCATGCTCCTTCCTCAGCGCGCGAATCTCCTTGGTCAACATCCCCTCATACAAGCCATAACCCCACTCTGCCAGCCTTTCCGTCTCCTCCACCTTGCCGGCTTCCTTCAGACCCTGCTTCTCGGTCTCTCCGAAGGCCAAGTCAAAGGTATGCTTTGCCCTTTGGCGCGGAGACACATACACACGAGCCAGTTTAGCTGTGTCAATAAGCTTACCAGCTCCTACGAGGATCTTGCCGGAAGCGGTCACTTGCTTCACTCCGTCGTCGGTTAGCTGAATTTCGCTGATGCCGGTGTAGCGGCCGCTTTTGGACCATTCGGTCTCTCCTGTGGGATTCTTAGTGGGGTTTCATGATATTGTTGGATAGTGGGGATAGAGGTACCATGGCGGTAGAGGAAAACACGGGGCGTTCCGGCGTCTTTGTCGGGCATGGTGTTGGTGATGACGTAGCTGTAAGACTGGGATTGATCTAAGGGGAGATGGACTATGACCGGGGTAGTAGTGGTAGTATCTGGTCTGGGGGAATGGCCAGATTGAGCGAGGGGAACGCGGGGAGAAAGAGAATTTTATTTAGGTAATGTTCTTGATGTGGGTTCGCGGTTCACCGGAGCTAAGATTGGGTTTGGGGTCAGATTTCCCTTCGTAGGGTTTACTGCACGATCACGCGGGATGTTCAGCCATTGCACATGAATAGAATACCGGTGAAGGTTCGGTCTTCAGACAGTCTGTTGGTTTGTCTATGAGAGTTTTCCGAGCTTCTTAGCTATTCGAATGCCACTTAACTCTAGTAATTTATTCTCCAAGGAAAGTGGGGTGGCGGGGGCAAAAACCATATTGATAACATTCAGACATTCGCGATAAGAGCCTTATCGTTTGTTGATCTCATATCGCCATTCGGCAGATGCGGGCTGGAAGGCACGTGCTCAGATGAGCCGCTGCTACTGGCCTGAGGCTTTAAGGCACCAGATATTGATGCCTGATGATTTTATACTACTCATGCCAATCCCACAAGAAATCGAATACACAGCACCTTTTGCTTCTTATTCTGATGCTTGTCTTAGGTTTGGCTATGCTAGTATACTTAGTGTCCATACGATACACTATGAACTATTTTTACTCATCAACATCCAATTGGTACGTATCTTCTCATTCGAAGGCGACACTGCTAGCTGTGGACTATGGCATACCGACAATTAGTGCCAGTCAGTTATCAAGCAGCCGTCCAATGTAGCAGACCGTACACTGAAGTGCCATGACCTTAAAAAAGTAGCCTATGACCACTAGCATAGAACTCGTTATAGAGGCTCACACATACAGTCAGCACTATGACCCTGTGGCTGTGCATGGCACATGCACTGCGCCCCGAATCCTTCCTTCCCACTCACCCAGTTAGTTACACATAAGGCTGTCCCAGGCAGCACCATTCCCCAGAATTGTAGATAATACTCCCATAACGTCTCATTAAGCTGATCAATAACCCAGAAAGCAAAGAGAAGAAGCAAAGCCTCTTACTTTACCAGAAAACACAAATCACCTCATTATGGGCCTTCCACCACCAACCGAACCAACTCCTCCATATGAAGAAACGGAACCGACTAGCCGCCACAATCACACCGTAAGCTTCCCTTATGCCTTTTTACTGATACTCAGTGATGAAGTACAGTATACTAACAAGTCACGAACACACAGTACTCAACTCTCACTCAAGCCATCGATGACCCCGAAATCCAACTCCCATCATTCCACGAACTTGATCATGGCGACGGGCCTACCACATCCTTGATTCCGGGCGCTACCCCTCAAGAGCACTCACACTGCGAAGTGTGCGAGCGGATCATAAATCGGCGAGAGAGACGACAAGCCCATGCAGACTGCTGTCGGATAGTAGCCATGGTATTTGTGGTTATGTTTGTGTGTATGATGATACTGGGGATAGTTATAGCCAAGGCGGCATCGAGACGGAAATGATGGGTACTCTGTCTTCATTTTAGAGGAGTATATAAGCGTATATACTGGAGGAATGACCCTTGGGCTGTTGTTGTACAAACAGGACGGAGTGATATCTAGTAGAGAGGAGCTTTGCTGGTTTGTGAACTTCCATTTTCTACGCTGCCTGTTTCTAGAGAGTAGATGTAAGAGGTATCCATTAATGCTGAAGTAGTCCTCATCGATATGCTAGTAGAACTATAGTAGTTGGAAGTGTGTCTAGGAATACCGTGAAGAATGGAGCAGAGTTTTGTCTTCATACTAGAAGAGTCGCTCCGATCTGCGTTGTTTGCTGCACGCCATCGCTATCCTCCTACCTCTGCCCACACCAATATCAGAATGCTCCCCAAATTGCTGGACAGGTAACCTATACCCATGCATCCTATCCTTCATTTATGTAAAGCTTTTAGTAATTTCCTGTTACTAAGTGATCGAGACTACCATCAGCGGCGAGTTCCTTCCTCCGTCGCCCACGTGGCTCGAACAGGAAAATATCTTACTCAATATGCTTGTACCCAGGTCTATTATCGACTGCAGGGCGTTTCAGGAGTCACTTAGATTAGCTTATACCAGATGGGAGGAAGACGTTATTCGCTTTCGTCTGAGGGCTACCCGCTGGTTAGTCAGTGGCATGCTTCTGACATGTCTTGCTATCCTCGTCTGCCCCTGAACAATCATGAGAATCAGCTTCGCTAATTATTTAGTGATTCCAGAGCTCCCTACCAGTTTCCACAAATATTTTCGACCCCCCGTATATCTTTATAACCTACTCATCAGCTTCAGCGTCCAACACAAACGCCGGGCTATTTCTCGTCGTATTTCTCGCGGTCAGCACATTTGTGACTATGGTTCGACAGTACCCCCAAACGCAACTGCTGCGCTACGCAAGACGATATCAAGCAATTTAGTGAGCGCTCAAATTGGAATATGTACACTGATGAAGGTGTTACCTGAAGTATTACCAGCGAGGTTTGTGTGGTGCTTGGCTTTGGAGAATTCAATTGAATACCAATCGCTTATTGCAGCCTCCGTTCAAGAAGTGGGGAAAAGCCTGACCCCAATGGCATGTAGTCGACTTCGCAACGGTCGATAGTCAAGGGAAATGGGCCAGTTACCGCCAAAGTTTGTTGACGCATCTCCTGGGACCCCTGGGCCGACAGAGGAACAACTCGATGTGCACTACGAACGCAGTCGGCCCTGCGATCTGGCCAGAGGACTTGGGGATGTTATGGCTACACACCGTGGACGCAGACTTACCACGGACTGAAGAATATCAGATTTCACCCTGCCACACGACCGGACATACTGGTAGCTGACTTCTTCGTCAATGCGGCCAAGAACGCCCGAATGGAGTACAAGGTGCCCATTGTTATTGGCTGATCCCAGATGCCCTACTTGATGGTACCGTGGTCATACATGCCTGACCAACCAGGCTTCCAACTCGATATAATCTTAGATTCGGAGATTGCATCAATGTAGTCGCGTATCAGCAATGAACCTGTAGTCTTGCGAGCCTTGCCCGAAGTGCCGAAACCAAGGAACTGGACCAAAGCTATGCGCAAATCATCGGTCCGAATTACCTTCTTCTAACGCCGAAGAAATCTGATTACTACTCCCAGTCAACTCTTTCTTCGTTCACTTCGAGACCGAAGACCTTCCTCCCTTGGTCGCAGCAGTCGGACCAAAATAAGTAGATGAGTACCCTCCATTGGACCTCCTCCACTAGAAGTTCCCTAACCGCCACGAAAAAACCATTTCTATCGCCTCGGGGACGCATTCTATTCTTCCTCATGCAGTTGCTCGGGAGGTTATTCAAGGTCTCGTCCACGTCATGAAAGAAGGTGTTGTCGACGGCCTAATTTGGTCAGTGGGTGAGAGCGGACGGAACGACGCACCAAAACATTTCACTATCCAAGAACAAACAATCAGCTTTGGGAAACATTTTGACGGAGAACATGCTGACTGGATATTACCTTCCTTTGCACCGCAACGGTCGATCCTGGACCATCTCTATATCCGCACAATCTCACCCACGGAGGTGGGACTAGTACCAACAAAGGCCTCTGTCAAGGCAAACCGATGCTAGAAATGCCATTCTACTTCGACCACATTGGCAATGCGGCAAATTTGGCCGGCAGTGGAACTTCGGAGGTGCTCCACATGTTCCATCTCACGACTAATAAATTCTAGTTCTAGGCGAATGGATTATAGAGGATCGTGACGATGCGCGCAATGTGCATTGTCTCCAGCGTATCACCCATGTGGATCCAGACGCAGGGTTTTGGGCGCTGATCTGATTGAAGAAGTTCTTAATGATACTGAAGCGAGGGTTGTTGATGGAAGGGAGATCCGTCCAATACATCTGCAAGCATCGATTATGCCAATGCTGGCTTGCAAGGAACTGGGACTTGATGGCCGTTTCACAGTGGTGATGGGCTTTTTGGTGGGGGCTTTTACTATGCTCGGGGGTTCGCTTGTAATCACTCGCAGGGCTATTGGTGGATTACTCAATTGCTTTGTTTGTTTTCTAGTTAGCTTTCTTCATCATCACAACACTGCAACATCCAAAAAAATAAAAAATAAAAATAAAAATAAAAAATATAAAAAAAAATAAGAAAATAAGAAAGATATATGAAAAATATTTAGTGAATGTCCGCAAACTGAGTATTTCGCTCCTTTAGGAGATGTTATGTGACGGATTAGCATAAACGCGACTTCCTGGCAAATCAGCTCCTTCCATGGCTACTAGTAGTACGCCCGTGACACAATTTCCATTTGTCTGTAGTCGGAGCTCCACAAAGGTTGCACAACTTTGCTATCAGCAAGGATTTTGACATCAAGTACGGTATAAGCTTTAACATCCTCATGATGAGGGGCGGAGTGAATTCTCAATGTGCAGTTATGCTTGATGTTCAGCTAAGACGTTCATGTCAGTTATCCTTCGCCACCTCTTCCAAACCTCGACATACAACCATTCCCTTAAGATCAGATAGATCGAATACTGTTGGGACACATATCTCTCCGTCGCCTGGCTGAGCTGTGCGATATATCGTTTTTGGTCTAGCGGTTAGTGCTTCGACAAATACACATACGGTTCTCTCCACGTACGACATGTTTGCCCAAGTATTTGATGAATTTTGGTAAATTCTCAGGTGACTCGAGATACCGGTGGCGCAGGTGAGTGAGTGAAGTGCTCTTACGTCTTCGCGCAGAAGAGACCATGTCGAGCATATACATTCAGCGCAGAGAAAACATACACAAGCTAATTACCCAGGACCTGACAGGATCTATTCATACCAGCAGGTCCTTCTGAATAAAAACTATGTGCGTCTCCTCATAATATCTCCGAATCATCCCAGGACCCGCCAGAGCCCCGGGAACCTCGTCCGCGATTGAATCCAGCTTTGTCGGCTGAATATCATGCCCACTACTCCTCGTCACCGAATAACGAGTAATGAGACAGGGATGGGAAGGAGGAATCAAAGGACATGGTAAAATCCTTCTGACCGCTGGGAGGAGGGGAAAGGTTGGGGAAGAGTTGCAGACTCTCCTTAAACTTCATAATAATCCCCCTTCTTTCTACACTCCGCTCTTTTGTGCAATCTCCCCAGTCTTCTCAGGGCTATCTCTTTTTCTTGCTCTCTCAAGTCCTCTTTTCGTTTTCTCCTCATACTACTTGTGGTTCATGCCATGTTGATGCTCTCACACTCACATTTATCGCTATTACCTTGCCTTGGTTCTTTACCTCTTTGCCTCCTTCTCGTGGAGGACACCAGATGGCCCGTCTGCGTGTACCTCAGCCTTCTCTTTCAGAGTTCCTCTCTTCTTCCTTTTCTCCTCCTCATACCACTTCCGATTCAGCATCCTTACTGTTTTTGCTGTTCCTCGCACTCATACCATCACTTTGTCGCCTTGCTTTATCTGGATTGCTTCTTTCTCTTCTCCCCTTGGATATAAATTCTTGTTTCCCTGTTCATAGATGATACCAGATGGCCTGTCTACGTGTTCCTCAGCCTTCCTTCCGAGAATCTCTCTTCTTATTTTTCCCTCCTCATACCACTTTTGCTTCAGTGTTCTTGGCTTCCTGCTGTTCCTCGCCCTTCCCATTTATCAATTTGTTCTTTTGTCCTGTATCCTCTGCTTCTCTCTCCTGCTCTAGATACCATGAATTCATCTTCCTCTGTTCGTCAAGGAGCGCAGATGGGCCATCTGCGCTCTAGCCTTCCCTTTGAGAAATTCTCTCTTCTTATTTTCCCCCTCCTCATACCACTTCTGGATCAGTTTCGATTACTGTTCTGCTCTCCCACCCCTCCTGATCATCACATTGTTCCCTTGTTTTACCTGTCTTGCTTCTTCCTCCCCTCCCCCAATCCCATGAATTCGTCATCCTCTGTTCGTCGAGGACACCAGATGGCCCGTCTGCGTGTACCTAAGTCTCCCCTTCTTTCTACTTTCTCATCAGTCAACACACGATCGCCCACCCACTGTGAGACCCTGGCCTCCCATGCTTAGTCACGTGACAAGAACCGCTTCGAGAACCGGACATCGATTCCAAAGATGGAACCTGCCAATGAAGTTAGTAGAAACGAGCTGAAGGACTCCCGGGAAGGTTTAAAATAGATAAGGAGTTGACAACAGGAGCTGGAAGAGGTAAAAGAGACTTATGGATGTATGATCGGCCACCGTGATAATAAAGTGGCCTGATTCCGTTGCTGCAGATAGCTTTTCTTTCTTCAGTTTTTCGAAAGTCTTTTACTGAATTTACAAACTTCTTCGACGGCTTATGTCAAAAGTAATTTCCAATTTCTCACTTTAGGCCAACAGTCTTCATGTAGACTAACCTATCAGTGGCTCACTTGATCAGATCGTTGAAGAGATTTATGTCAAGACGAAGGGTCATAGATATATGGATTTGATCTATCTAGATCTCAAGGGGCTGGGTGGTTGATTGGTTGAGGTGGTGCTCGGAGGCCACGCAGGAAGAAGAGGCGAAGGATCAGCTGACATTTGCCTGGCTGCAGTGAATGCCTCAACAATTTATCGTACCTGATTCAATATGAATTGCTGCAGACTAATCGCTTCACTCCTCCAGGAATTCTCGAGCAACGGATCGGCATGAATGCACCCTTTTGCCAGATTGGCTCCTTCTATAAATGTCTGATTCATTTGTGACGCCATCTGCTTCGCCTGCAGTCGAAGCTCCATGTAAGTTGCTTGAGCTTGCCGCCGGCAGCAACATGGTATCACATACTATCATCGTCGCCATCGTCGGCTTATACTGACGCGCGTCGTTGCCAGTTCTCACGGAAGAGCCATGCCTCACGATTACTTCAATCATGCGGTGACTCCTTGAGACCCACAACCCCCCCCTACACATGAGCACAAGAAAGCGGTGGCGCAGGCGAACCTGTGACATGGAAAAAGCATGGGGTTGATCGTGAACTTTCCATATTCTTTGCGTCAAAGACACTATACCGAGTATTTGCGCTCAGCAAAGACAAATCCTGTGGACCCGATAAGCTATATATTTCTATCAGCTGGGCCCCCCAAGTGGAAACAAAATGCTTACCATATCATTCACGAATCATCTTCAACACCCAACGAACCTCATCCGCAACCAACTCCGGCTCCATCAGTTGGATATTATGCCCACTCCGCTTCGTCACCGAATACCGCGCAACACTCGACAAACTCAACAACTCCCGATGAAACTCCTCTTCACACCTCTCCCACCTCGCCAGATACTCTCTGAACCTCTTCCGCTGCGCATCAGTACCTCCCCCCTTGGCTACACCAGCCTCATACAACAGCTCATGATCCCTCTTTGAATTTCCTCCCAGCACACTCAACGGCTTTCCTCTCATAACATCCTTCCCAGGGGCAAGTTGCTCCTTCTCTGCCAGTACACCCCGACTGACCTGCAGAAACGGCATTTCTAGTGCCGCCTGTTTCGCATGCTTTTCACTATTTTCCTCCGCCATCAAATCGTCCCATTCTTCATCTGTTAACACACGATCGCGCACTAGCCCAACAACATCCATGTAATCCAACCCATCGGTGACAGAAGCAATGCTCGGATCCGGCCACGTTTCCATAATCATACGCTCCTGGACTGGATCTACGAGCACCATGCCACAGATATCGTCTGGTCGGGCGGCGAGGAATTCCCGCGCCAGGATACCACCCCAGGAGTGTCCGATGACGAGGTATGGCGGGGCTAGGGCTGCGGCGTCAAGAAGATGGCAGAGTTCGTTAATGACGGTAAGAGAGTCGGGTGGGTTTGGGGATGGCTCGCTGCGGCCGTATCCGGATCGCTCGTAGAGGAGGATGGATGCGTCGGTGGAGAGGTGACGGCATACGGCGCTCCATTCTAGAGCGCTGCTGGTAATTCCAGTTAGGATTATTACGAGAGGGGTATTGGGTTGGCGGGGTGGGCCGCGGAGGGCGTAGCTGAGGGTGTGGGTGCCGATGTTGGCTGTGTGGTTGAAGTGGTCCATGGCGTGGTTGCAGGCAAAAAGAAATAAAGATGAAGTTTTGAGAGGGATGATGAGAGTCGATAGACAAGGGCGAGGGAATGGGGTACAGTGCTGGAGTATGTCTATATAGGTAGTTGCTAGTGCTTACCTAGTGAGTCATTCATTGGAAAGGCTAGTAATTGACTAGTTGAGTTGATGGCCCGATAGCCCCGCCCCCTTGAGCTTGTAGGATGATGCTTCAAAGATACTATGGTTTCCTAATCGATATGTGGCCTGAGAATTGTTGTCTCTGTGAACTGAGATAATTCATAGACTGTCTATACCTTCTACGCCTCGTGGCAGAGGTATTGGCAGACATGATTACTTCCACAACGAGCATGAGATAATAGCACAAGGTCAACTGGTCACGAGCTAAAGAACCCTCTACATTGTGAACTCCTAGGAGCGCCCTTGGGTGTCAATACTTTTGCTAGTCGCGTAGTACCGAGCTTCATAATTCACACACAGCCATGTAATTCCCTATCTATTCACTATAGATGTCTATATCTAATATACTTACTAGTTACTGATCGGTGGTCGACCTATGTAATCACTTGATGTCAAGGAATTCTGATAACATTATCTTGGCGCATCAATAAAGCCCAGCATTGCCCTCAGCATCGTTCCGCATCTACTGTAGATGGTTGACTGACACTTTTCCGCATGATAAACGACATGGTAATTTGTTAATCTATTTTTCTATCACCTTTTGTCTGCTTTGATGGTGAAAACATGGTGTTTTATGCTTCTACTCCCGCCTGCAGTTCTTCTTGGCGGTGATTATTTCCAGCGCCGCCGAGCCGGGATACAGTCATAGCAGCAGTTTCATCTGAAACATAGAAAGAAACGAAGATAGAGCCTTGCAATAGACATCATGAGATGTGCACAGCTTCTCAATTATAAACATTTGTCTACGGGGTCTTTCTTGACCTACAATGATACGCTACTACTTTCCAAAGCACAACAAGGTTGCTTACGTAGATATAATTGCGGTTAAGGCCAGATCTACAAGAGGAGCAATAGCAGTGCTAAAAAGACTCGGTAGCAGTGGAACATGAACTCCTATATGCTACCCCATCAAGAGAGAGAAGCCACCGACATTTGTACGCGTAACGTATTGATCATTATAGCCATATAAGATAAGAGATAGATAACATCAATAAAACTCAATTTGAACACAACAAGATAGTGAGCCGAGATATGAAGTATCTTCTCAAGAACACGAAACGAAGTTTACGCAAGCGGCTTCTGCCCCACAGCCGTAATAATGTGGCTCTGATGAAAGACAACACCCTTCTCCGTCTCCTTGACCGCAGCAGATAACATATCAAACCAAGCCTCACGGGACAGAGGCGCATCGGGAGCATCAGCCTTGCGTGGAAACAAAGGAGTCAGGTCCTCCAAGATAATGAGGTACGCATCAGTCCAAGCCTTGTAGTCCAGCTTGCGCTTATCGTATTTTTGAAGGCGTACATTCTGGAACCCGAATCCCGTCATGGGGGTATCAAGCTCGTCTATCCAGGCGTAGCTGATGCCCTTGGCCTTAAGACCGTCCTTAAGCACCTTCATTACGCTTTCGCAGGCTGCAGTCGGGGTCTTAGAGTTTGGTGCCTCGACGAGGAATATGTCGCCGCGATTTTCTTCCCACTGCAAGTAGCCACCGGGTTTCAAGAGTGAGGAGGCCACAGATAGTGTGGGAGTGAGAAGATCGCTGCCTGAGATAGTGCTACCAAAAGAGCGAATGTGCACTAAATCATAGGTGCCGAGAAGGTGGGCGGGGAAGGGATTGGCGAGGATGTCTAGCTTCTGCAGGGTGACCGCGGGGGGCAGGTATGCGGGCGCCGGGAAGTGGATGGGGTTGATGTCAAAGCCGTCAAGCTGTGCGGTGATGTTTTTCTTCGATAACTCGCTGTTTAGCTCTGTCAGCCAGATGCCATTGCCGCAGCCGAGGTCGGCGACTTTCAGAGGCTGCTGGGCGGAGGTCACAGCCTTCTCCACGGCAGGATCTAGGAGATAGCCAATAGTGTTCTGGTAGAGGAAGTGCTGGAGGTGCAGGCGGGCAGAGAATAGGAAATTGCGGTCTGAAGAAGTCCAGTATGCGTGCTGGTTGTAGTTTTCGATGTGGGAAGAGACGGTCATTTTGGCTAAGTGCAAGGAGGAGAGGTTTTTGGGATGGAAAGAAGAAAATATTCAGTTTGGCGAATGCTCATCCTTAAATACCTCTTTGCTTATACCTAAGACTCTTTCAGGCTAACGATAAGACGCAATGTCATTTGCCCGTTACTGGGAAGTGTAAAAAAGGCATACCGATATTTAACCGGCTAAGTCCTTATACAGTGTATCCTATGCTAGCATCTCTTATTCATTGTTCACAGCTCACTGACCCCTGCACCGGCCGTTCGAGGTCGGTTAAGAAGCGGACATGACAGGCATCATGACTCAGTTACGGCCGACGCACGATCCTCGACATGGAGCTCATCCACTTGGAATTGTTCTTCTACTTCCCGCTGTCGCCCCTCCCTTGACAACCGACAATGCAGGCCAGCGTGTCAACAGTTCATAGGGCGCTTCTGGACTAAGTGGTCATCCCCACTTCAGATGAGGGGTCGGTGCAGCCTGCAGATGAGAAAGTACACTGAAGTGTGATGGGACAATGGGGCATTCGATAACATGACATCGATGCTGTACATAAACATATCTGTGACTTGGTACTACAATCTTGGTGTGAGTTGAAGGACTACAGGATAATCGGAAGCGAGTTATCTACTCAGATATACTTAACACATGGTATTCTACAGATCTATTCAACAAGCCGGGATATCCTGTTCATGCCGATCTGAGATACTCTCGAGTATTATTGCCCATATATGAGCGCATAAAATGAAATGTAAGTGGTGACATAAGCAGCAGAAAGAGAGTTCGGCAAAAGCTGTCAGTCTGTAACTGATGGCATAGTATGAAGCGTATACACACAGCATCCAATACGAGAAGATCTGCAGGCGACTAAGCCAGAATTGGCGTATAGATCAACCACAAAGGACCATAGCTTGAGGGTGTGAGGAAAGAAGAGGGGGTGCGGGAGGGGTGAATGTATAATTGATCGGAGAATGGATAGGTGAAGCCGCCAGACCCGAGTCTCATTGTATATTAGCAAGACATTTCACCGCCCTCAGTGGTGCTCATCACACCACCTCAAGTTTACATCCAAAGCTGTGTAAAGCACTGCCTCCCGCTATCTTACAGGAGACTAACAAGGGTGGGGTTGTTAATATGCCATTGTTCCCAAGGACAGCAACCGACAAAAGTCCGTGCACCCTTCGAAAATTGGCCATGAGCCTTATCATATTCTCCACCGATTTCTGGTCCACATTTCGAAGGAATGAGGGCCGGAACCTTAAAGTCTTTCAACCTTGAGATTACGGGGACGAAGATATAATGACTGGGGTGTGCTGTTTATATAGCAGCCACTAGTAGTTATTTTTTTTGTTTGTCTGTCTTCATTGTCTTTGGCTTGAGGAGGGTATAACCCAGTGCGTAGTAAGAACTAGTGTAAGTGAAGTTCCCAATCACTAGCCATTTAGTGGGAGGAAGCATCAGTAACAAGAGGATAGATAAGTGAGGCGTGGTGAGGGGAACCAGGCAAGCAGCACATGCATATTTGGATTGTCTGCCCGCCGCCCTGTACGAACCCCTGCTAGAGGCACGCTTGGACCCAACAGCCACGAAAATAGACAAAGTGGGGAGAAAGGAACAAAGGAATGGACTGTCGGACTTATGGAGACATTTCTCATTTCCTAACCGGGCCCGTTTGGTGCTAGACTCCGGCCCCGTGATCTCAGCTTGTGTGAAAGTTTATAGTACAATAATTCACAGCTGCTGAACCGCTGGTATCATAGCCGTAAATCTGTTCAAGTGCTATAATGCCTAAACTTGAGGACGGTCAAATCCGCCTCAGAGCTCCTCTTCCTCCGAGACTTCTTGCTGACGATATAGCTCCTTCTGTCTCGAAAATAGTGCCGACCTATCTGTGTAACTATTATAATGGATTCTCCGCCCCGGCGGCCCAGCACCACGTGGTACTCCACGTTGCAGCAAAAGTCGATTTTTGACTGGAAGTGTCCGTTCGATGTATGTCCTCTCGGTCGGGCTGGTGATAAGAGCTTCCATAATAGCCAGACATGCATCATTATGACTGAAACGATACAGCATCTAGATCACAGAATAGAGGTCTTCATCCCGGACCTTTTTGTCCTGAGCGCTACTATCATATATCACACAGATAATCTGTTTGTCAAGGGTGAGCTGCAGGAAAAGAGCTCCCGGAAGGTTAGGTAAAGTGATTTTACGTCCAACGATCTGATGTTATCGCTGAAGGAGCGTGTACTGATGAAGTAGCAGTAGAAGGCCATTCCGTACAGACGTGTTGCGTTATGAGACTTGTCGTAATTTCCTGTGGACCACTAAGCCCATCGATGGAGGAACTCCTGCGGGCCACAGAGGTGACGCAACAGAAAGTAACTTTACCCCTGGGATGAATGTTGTGACATATTAGCACGGTGCATGGATAGAGGCGAAGAACCGCGAGATCGAGGTTGCCATTGGCTAGTAACAAGTCGGATCTGAGAAAAGAAAGCCAGATGATAAGTCTTTGGGCTTGTTACAAATATCGCGATGTGGAAGAGCGTTTTCTTGCAGTAGTTCGCCCCAAGGGTCATGTTTACTATCTTCTGCGTTTTTGGAAAGCGGTACTTTCTTTTTGTCCGAAAAGAATTTCATTAGGCAGTGCTAATGCTGGTGGTCTAACCTATGATGATATGGGTTTTCACATTCCTCCCTAGAAGATGAGCAACATATCGGAGTATCGACCAGGATCATACTAATAAAGGAAGGACAAGAGGAGTCATTGGCATCTACTCAGATTTTCAGAACTTACCTCCTTTGGGTACGCATCTAGGAAGATGCACGTATTACCATGCTAAACTACTTAAAGTATAGATAGACTCGATTATACTTGGACGTGGTATAATGTATCACTGTTCGAGATGACCGATCATGACGGGATGCTTATGCCATGCCTTCCACTCTTTCTAGTCTACACGCAGATTAGTTGTTTCCACGGCGCAGGAGGAGAAACCGGTCAAGCAGTACATCCACGATAGATGGCAATTTGGTTGTGCAGGTTACTAGGTGGAGAAAAGCGAACGAAGTCATAGTGAAGCTTGACAGTTCCGCTTGAGTGATGAGTATTGCCAATTTTTGCTATGGCAAGTTCGAACTTAGAAAGTCCTTCATGCCAGCAGCTGCTATCTACTATTTGTGTCCCGGGAAAATCGAATATTCGTGGCCCGTACGGGTAATTGTGGAGAGACCCAATAAGGCTCCACATCATCTGTCAGTGAGTGTGCATCAACTGGCAGACTTTCAGGGAATGTCAATGGACAATATTGGTTTAAGAAGGAAGTAATACTCGGGCATGGGGCATGAAGGGTCCCTTAATCCCGAGTGCCAAAATCTCTCCCTACCTACTTCGTAGAAAATTTCTCCTCCCCTCAAGCGAACGAAATATCAATCTACTGTAATGCTAGATAAAACATTTATATACCGTGACCCTCACCATCATTTTCACTCGGAGTATTTGGCCCTACAAATTTTCTCCTGTCAGCTAAGTCATGCACAAGACTGCGGTAATATGGATACAAAGAAAGAGGGGGTCAGCGAGGACACCAATGTAAATGTCAAATCCGACAGGTTGGGCCTTGACAGGCCGATCGTTTCAAAAGCCCCCGAGGAGAGATCTTGTCACCAAGTTCGTACAAGAGCAAAGGACTCGCACGAACGTCCGCTATCAATGTTAGTGTTTCTAATTTCCCATAACTAGCCAGCCTATCGTTCTCTTTCCATTTAAAGAACGAAGCCTTTTGTCGACCAACCTTTTACTAGCTCTGAGATGCGGGAGTTTTCGGGCTGGTATAGAGGGATTTGGTAGAGGATACACAGCCCTTTATACTATTAGAATTAAAGATCAACATCAACACGACAGTCGCTAGGCAGCACTTGTATTACTGGATGGATTGTATGTTAGCAAATCCTAATTTCGCACTCCAGTAATATTTTCCGAATTCTAATAGAATGCCCCAGATGGACCACCCCCGGATCAGATAAGACAGGTCAGGTGGACAGCGTGGGGTGGGTGGCGCCCACATGGCTTGAGGCTGCAACGAACATCCCTTGCGGCGCCAAGACTTCTAAAATCGGATTGGCAGTTCGAGATCGCAGGCTGCCAATCACGTCCGGATTCCGACGGAACATAATTTATCGCCCGTCGCACAGCGTCCTAAGATTGGACCAGCCAAACACTATTGATTGAGCTTCCATGTGATTGATGCGGAAGCCAAAGCTACATTTACTGTAATAATGTTAACATCTAAAGTGAGATTTGACATGAAATTTCGGACCTCACTGGCGGTTATGAAGTTGCTACTGTGGAGGAGACAGACAGATCGCGCAACTACGTAAATTTGAACCCACCAGTGCAAAAATTTCACAGTTTCCCGCAGGAAAACTCTTTGCGGAAGGGTTGAAAGCGGAATACGCGTGAGTTTCCCGCCAACCCATAATTGGTCCATGTTGGACCCAGATGGTATGATTCCCGCTCCCCACCCAATCAGCGGGCCTCAATGGTGACTGATGCAACGGCGGGGAGTAATCAGGTTTCGGACAGCAATACCCTGCGGTAAAGGACGGTGAAAACTCGATGTCAATGTCTGGGAGGTGCGAATTACAGTCACCACAAAAATTCAAGCTTTGATTCGATTATTCATGTGTTGCTGCTTCCCCTGTCTTGCGTCCAGTACAAGCTCGGAACGGCTCAGCTCACTATGGAGTCTTCAATTGGCAATTTAGAGGCCAACCTCCCCGGCAATGGGAGCAGTAAGTCCAACAAGGAGCCACTCCCCGCAAAGCTGAACGCCTGGGTCGATGGCAAGCTGCCCGACGCTGTGGACGATGGGGAACAGCAGATTATCGAGGCTGGAGAAGCCAAGTATCATCGCCTCGGCTGGAAGGGTCTAACGGTCATGCTCATTGTGGAGGCCATTGGCCTAGGATCGTTATCTATTCCTTCCGCATTTGCGTCTCTCGGCATGGTGGCCGGCGTTATCTGCTGCGTCGGCATTGGCTTGATAGCCATTTACACCTCGTACGTGATTGGGCAGGTGAAGCTCGCCTTCCCGGCTGTTCGGGATTATGGTGATGCGGGTGCCTTGCTGATGGGTACCTGGGGTCGGGAACTATTCACCTTCATGTTGATCCTTCAGCTGATCTTCCTGACGGGTTCCAATTGCTTAACCGGCACCATTGCCCTTCGCCATATCACGTCTAGCGGCATCTGCTCCGTTGTCTGGAGCGTGGTGTCCGCGGTGATTCTTCTCTTGCTCTCCATCCCGTCTTCTTTTGCCGATATGGCCTGGCTCGGCTACGTGGATTTTGTTTCGATCGTGGCAGCCATTGGCATCACTATCATCGCTACTGGCATCCGGGGTACTGATTCTACCGGGGGCTTGGCAGCCGTGGACTGGTCGGCCACGCCGCAGGGCGATCCTACCTTCTCAGATGGTTTCATCGCGATTAGCAATATTGTCTTTGCGTACACCTTCGCTAGCTGTCTCTTTTCGTTCATGGACGAGATGCATACCCCTAGGGAATTCACCAAATCCATCTGGTCCCTTGGCATCCTTCAGATCGTCATCTACACTGTCACGGGCGCTACCATCTACGCCTTCGTGGGCACCGATGTCCAGTCTCCTGCCTTGCTTTCAGCTGGCACACTCGTTAGCAAGGTCGCCTTCGGCATTGCCCTTCCGGTCATCTTTATTTCGGGCGCTATCTGCACCATCGTGGCTGGACGTTTGATTCACGGCCGGATCTACGCCAACAGTGTGACCAAGTACATCAACACACCCAAGGGCTGGATTACGTGGCTTATTGTGATCACTGTCTTGACCATCATCTCGTGGGTCATCGCAGAGGCTATTCCGTTCTTCGATGATCTTCTCTCCATCACATCGGCATTGTTCACCTCTGGTTTTTCTTTCTACCTTCCCCCGATCATGTGGTATGTCCTCATCCGTAAGGGGCCATGGTACTCCAAGGAGAACCTGTTGACCAGTCTGGTGAATCTGTTTGTCTTTATCTTTGGTCTCATTGTTCTTGTTGGTGGTCTTTACTCGAGTATTCAGGATATAGTAAGTTATCTCCCCCTCACCCTTTTAACACTAACCTTTCACTAACCCTATCCAACAGCGACTTAATTACCGCGAAGGTGATGTCAACAGCCCTTTCACCTGTGGCGATGTTTCATAAAAGCTTTGTTTTCTTCATTATATATTGCCCACACATGTTAATAGACCCTTGTACCGAGCCATTCGGCTTGATGATTCCCATGCCATCTGGAATGTCTAACTTGTCATATCCCACGAAGACATGATAACCGCCACACTGGCTTTGCATCGTTGGAAAAGAAAAACCTGAATATTAGCTGCCTGTACATATATTGAGCTCTGTTGAAGCGGGATGCAGAGGACAGGACAGCCTTTACTCTGAGATTCTTTGTGTTGACTTATGTCACTTGTTATTCCAATCCGCCACATGTCAACAACGAACATCACTCAGGCAGTGATTCTTATCTGTTCTTGGTCCGCAACCTACTTGCCATACTACCTTTCGGACTCTGTTCATAATAACAACTGACTCACACTTCAATTCGACCCCGTTCCGGAATTGATAGATGACCACACTCGCACCCGCCATGATCAAAGGCGTTATCTCATCTACAACGGAACTGTTGAGCTCACTGTGACCATCTCATGATGACTCGCTATCACCTTGTTCTATGGAGCATCGAATCCAAAAAGGAACCTGATATCTGGGTTCACATTATCTTGTGGAATATATATTCCTAGATAGTTGGTTTATTTTACTACTAAAATATATCACGGCAGAGCTGCCACTAATTGATCTCTGAAATGATCCACAGCTCGAGCCTAATTACCATTCTTCCAATAGACTATGCCAAAGGCAACTGGGGATAGCGAAAAAGCATAGTGGGGCACCTTGTTTCATCCAAGTGAACTCGAGTGGGGACGTGATTCAAATAGAAATTCATCTGAGTAAACTGTCGCGGAGCTAATTTCATATTATGTAGGGTTTCGTAAAGGTGGGAAATAGTTAGCACGTGGCTATCTCAAATACTGTTTGCCATTTGATGTAGAAAGTGCCAGAAAGTCATGAAGAAAAAGGTGAGTACTCTGCTCAAAAGTACATGGTCGACCTATTTCGTACGTTTGATGCTATCTATCCTTAGGCTAATGAGATCTAGTAGTTTATTCCCCCCAAAATGCGGCTGCAATAGTTCGTTACCCTCTAATATACTATATAGATTAAGAAGTAGGAGGTGCTATCAATTGCCTCTCTCCGAACTTTAACCGAAGCTCATGCAAGGCCGGCCTAGAACTCCGCTTCCCGAGCTCAATCCATGGTACCGAGCTCCCCAGCAAGTGCGCGATTGTACTTTCTTCGGAAACATGTGAAATGCCTTGTAACTCATTCCATAGGTACTATTACCAGATATATTTGGATCGCCGATCGAAGACCCTTCTTAAATGGCCGCATCAACGATTTATGTATACGTGAAATTGTGTTTGTTCATGTCACCATGTTAACCAGAAAACATCCATATTGATGCAGTAGATTGCCTACATCAAGGTTAGTATGTGCGAATTGAATAGAAACTCTAGTCTCCAGGTGCTGTATATGAAACGTATAGAAGCGTGTTTGAGTACAGCCCGTACTCGGAAGGCACGTTCGGTTGAAGAACCCCGATCAATAAAGCACCTCGCCAGTGTAAGATGAGACTAGGCAGAGTTCACTTTGAATGCACGCATCCCTAACGCTCCCTTAGGATTGAACAACCGAACAAGAGGTATGCCATTGCCATTAACTCCTAACAACTGTGGCAGACTCATGTACAACCAAACCAAAGCGCCATTACGCCGAATCCTGCCAATTCTGCACCACAAGCCAAGTAATCTTCTCCGTATGCCTCACCTCCTTATCCATCTCTCTTGCTTTCTTCACCAGCTTCTTTCTCGCTTTCAGATCTGCAGTCTGCCCTGCCATCTCATATAACAGGATAGCTTCGCCGCGCCAGATCTCATGTTGAACCTCTGATACGACCTGCCAATCTCGAACAACCTTCGCCGCATCCCTCCGCACCTTTCCCTTTTCCTGGCTCCATCCCCTCTTCGCCTCCGCTGCAAGATCCAAGTCATAAACATAGTCGATAAGCTGACATAGCTGTCTCCCAGGTACGCGAACTCTTGAGCGCACGCCCTGAACAAGGTCCGTTTTCGATGGTACGGTCCACCGCGGACATAGCGATGCACAAAGCGGAAACTTAGGATGAAGGCCTAGTATCTTCCTCAGCTGCTTCCCACTGACGATCGATACTTCAAGATGCTTGGGATGAAACAGCAGCCGATTCGCTCTGTTTAGATAGGCCGTCCTCCGCGCAAACGGTCCCTTGATATATGCCATATGGATGAGACGAGCTGTGAGGTCCGAACATTGTCCCAGAAGTGTGGTGATCTTCGTGGGGTCGATATGGTCAGCAAAGTGGATGACCTGACCGGCCTTTTGCATGTACTTCAGGGCTGTGTGTCCGGCCTGTATGATGTTCAGCTCGTCGATGAATTCGAGGAAGGCTTCTTCGGGGATTCCAAAGTTCATTAGAATGTCGGTGTAGGCGCGGACGAAGGGGAGGTTTATTAGGAGTCGGTCGGTGAGGTTACATACGCGGGGGATGGCTATGAGACGCTCTAAGGGTTGGTAGTTTGGTGGTTGGGAGTTGGTGGAGTTTGTTTCAGTGGTTGTGGTTTCGTGGAGGTCGGCGGATTGAGTATCCATAGTGGGTGAGTAAGAGGGACTGTTTTTGGGCTTGGTCGAGGTAGGCGTTCATCATGGAGTGTAGAGGTGGAAGTTGTAAGGGTGAGGCTTTGTGGCTGTCATGCTATGCTCGATCTTTTATGGTTCTCTCAGTGAGTCTTTCCCCTGATTATTAGACGAACAAACTTGATACTTCTGACATGTGGCAGACTGCGCCTAGATCCTCATATCTGGGTACGATCGTAAAACGTATGCAAACTATATGCACCGCCGCGATGTTATTGAACTGCCATAGAGCTATTGGCCGCCCAGGTCATGATACGAAAGAACAGCTTCAGAGGCTGGCCTGGTCAACTGACAGCTCAATGGAAGTCGGAGCCGATGATTGTGCAAGCACAAAATTAAGTTTTATTTACCAAATTAACCGTTAACGGGGTTAACATGTTGCTTGGAACCAACAACGACCCCTCCCGGCGATTCGGATTCCAGGCCCGCCACGTCCGGGCAATGGTCCCGAAGCGAGCAATTTTAAGCTAGGGAGGCAACCCCACTAGGTTCCAAAGAACATTATTAGTCGGTAATTAAGGTGCTCACTCGTAACCAAATAAAAGTTCACGAGAGAGTTTCAACCAAATCATATGATCTGTCAATCCGACCACGTCTCTCTTGCGTTCCATCCATCCAGGTATTTGATTCAGGATCTCATGCACCCTTCCTCTCTTGTGGTCGATCGCAATTATGTCCCATCGTTGAGACCTAGCATAAGCCAATCACAATGGAATCCACATAGCATTAACTCGCTCAATACTGGCTAGGTATCTATTTTCAGCTCCTGAACCAGAACTTCCAACCCCCCTCCTCACACATCCCCTACCCATGCACGTACACCAAACAGCTAAGTCTCATAAGACATGAAAGTCCCACAATATGGAATCCATCTCATCTCCCAAACAACCCCATACGGTGCATACCTCGCATTCATCCCATCAACATAGGTTCGCAGTCGATCATTAAACCGATCCACCGCGGCACCGTAAAAACAAATCGACAGCCCGCATGTGAAACACACCAGAACTATCTCCCTATTTTGGTCTTTAGAGAGCCTTTCTGCCATATGCCGGATGATGTACATGTCTTGATCCCACATGAATTCGGGTACTCCACGTCGTGCTAAGACTGGTGGGAATCCGGTGGGGAGACCGTTGACTGTGGTGGGGAATTCGACCCTTTCGTGGTCGGCTTCCACGATGCTGATGTTGGCCATATAATCTTGGTGTTCCTTTGTGGTAGGTTAGTCTCGAGTATTAGTGTGTAAGATAGTCTCGAGTATTAGTGTGTAGGAAGAAGACTTGCAGTCAAGGAGATCGGGAGTGGATGTGGTAAGCTTTTGCGGTCTGTGCCATGCCTGTCAGGTCATGTTGAGGTTTAAAGGTAACAGTCCTTGAGAGAGTATTTTCTATAAATACACTTTATACTATACTACCAAATCTAGAACCTAGTTTCTTTGGGAAAGTGGATCCAATAATAATGGCCAATCCACGAGATGGCTGGTTCTAGACTGTTTTTCTCGCCATATAGGCAGTAGGATTTGGGGAGATGAACGAGCAGTACTCCGTATGCTGCGTACCCGAAAAGAGATCCTTGGGTCAGATGTCCTCGGGATATTCCATTAGGTCATGGCTCTACGCATAAGCTCAACTTGAGGAAACACAGTCACAGCAAGAATGAGGAACACCATAGATAGAGATGAGTCATTTAAGGCACTGAATGTACAGCATCCCTCTCACCAAGCCAACACTCCTGATCGCACCCTCCCACATGCTTTCAAGTAGCTAACACCCAGTAAAAGTCTCTCCCTCAAACCAAAATTTATTTCACTCAGTGTAGCAAGGCGTCCGACCCTGCGCCGTAATAACACTAATGCACTCATAGTTTCCTCCGGCATTGCACGCAGTACCGGCTGTGCCATCGGCATTGCTTACGCCGTCGGCCCGATGAGCTTTGGCGCAGATGCTGGTGCAGTCTAACTCTCCGATGGTTGCATCCTGTAGGAAACCTTATTAGCTTCCCGGAAATAGTATTGACGCATGGGACAGTACTTACCGAGTATACGCAGCAGTGACTGCTGTCGCTGAACTCGCACTGGCAGTATGTGCAAGCCTGCGCGGTGAGGGCGCTGATAAGGAAGAGCCCGAGGGTCATGAGGCGGACCATGATGAATAGGGAGTCTGTATAAGAGTTTTGAGAGGTTTGGCAGGTGTCTTGGTTGACTGAGTTGTATGGTTTAGTAAATAAGTCTATTTGTAGTGCGACAGGAAAGGGCGCCCTTATATGTTCTTTTCCTGGATCTCGGGGTGCCAGGATCATGCGGACGAGTTCCCCGGCAACCCTAGGGCACCGCAAAAGGGATTGAATATGGGTATAGTGGTTCTAAGTTGCCCATGTCTAGAAACAGTAACTTCTACGGGGCAATATAGAGGATCCGTATGCATAGAGTATATTAGGAGGAAGGTGATAAGTGTTGTCAGGATCGTCAACCTTTCTAGTAGTGGTTTAACCCACTTTACATAACTTTAGCTATCGACTAGCTTCATGACATGTTTTACCGATGATGTTCCGGCCCGCCTGCATTCATGTCCAGGGGTCTATCGTGACAGCGTTCAGAGGTGGCCCGAATCCTTCAAATCCTTCGTCTCTGATCCTCCGTAGCTTAGAAGCATTAGACCCGCAATTGGGGTGGATCACCTGTCGCCACAATCTTCTTAGAAGCTTAGTGAACACTTTGGCGTTGATCGACAACTAGTCATTCGTGACTTATTGGACTTGTTTCATAACGAAGGATTGGAATGCCGTGGTGGTTCGGGACAGGTTTCCTTCAGTAGAAAAGGGAATACCTCAGGTTTTTATGTAGCTTTTCCTTTTCAAATACCAGAATGGGAAACATGCACTCTGAATGCGAAGCTATCCTAAGAAGGGCTTTTGGCCCAGCTTTTTCCCAGAGTTTTTATCCTTTAACGGGTGGCACTGTTCGAGAGACGTGGGAAGAAGTAACTCATCATATCTGGTGAAGTAGTTTAATTGCCATAGTAATTATAGTAAGATAACTGTATATGTAGATCCCATCATCCCCAATGATATCCCTCACCGTCTTGTAATTAATACTCGACACATCAAACCATCAGGCCACTAACCACTGACCACATTAAGCACATTGGCACACCTAATCAACCTCCTCCTCTTCTTTACCCGAAGCCAAAAAGACCCGCCCGTTGCCATTCTCTCCCCTCTCAAACTCCAACGACAAGTTCGCCATATGAGCAAGCACATTCCCAATAGCTGCATCCCCTTTACTTTGTTTGCTCCTGCCCAAGTTATCCAACCAGGCGATTTTATTCAAGACGTAGTAGACCAACGCAATCACAATCTCGACTCCAATGCAGTACCCCCACAGCCGCACAACAGTGACTATGTCCGTCCACCCATTGCTCGTCTCCTTGCTGATATACTGATCATACGGATCGGTAATCATATCGCGATTCGAGAACCACCCAAACAAACAGAAGATAGTTGCAAGGATATCGACACCCAAGATTGCCGCCACGAGAGGTAGAGATGGCCATGTGGAGCTGCCGCGGGTCACGAAGATCAGCCAGTTCTCTGTTAAGGCGACCTCCAAGAAAATGATCTCTTGAATGGAGCCCCAGTTCTGGACGATGCCGCCGTCGGGGAGGAAGAGTGTGCCCCGTATCACCCATGTTCCTGCTGCGAGGAGGATTCCGAGGATGACGGAGATGACCCAGATTTTGGGGAGTTGCCATTGTACAGGGCGAAGCTCGTAGGAGGCATTGTCGTAGGCGACTGCTACAGTAGCCACGTCGGCGAAGAGGGCTAGGAAGACGACGAGGTCGGTACGGATGCTTTCGTTCAGGATGATCATTGTCGTTACGAGATAAATTTCTAGGTGTAGACAGAGCGCGATACGGTATTGGATGTAGGCTTTCATGCGATGGAAGATTTGGCGGGCGACCTGCTTGTTGTCAGGATGGACCAATGGTGACTGTGGGATGGGAACAAGGGGTGACTGACCTTAATGGAATCGATGATGGTTGAAAGCCCTGGCTCCAGAAACACAATGTCCGATGCAGATTGCGCAGCCTCTGAGGCACCCTCGACCGCGATACCACAGTCTGCTTTCTTCAAAGACGGCGCATCATTGACACCATCTCCAGTCATGGCTGTCAGATGACCACGATCCTGGAGCATCTCAACAACCTGGTATTTGTGTTCCGGAAAGACCTCTGCGAATCCATCTGCTTTTTCTACCAACTCACCGGCCATGGCGCCGCTGAGACCACCACTGATCAACTTCTCCGAGTTGTAGACCTTCGTGCCTAGAGCCAGCATTTTGCACGTCTCCTTTGCAATAGCAATAGCATCTCCCGTAAGCATCTTAACCTTGATGCCTAGCTTTTGTGCCTCAGCAATAGTTTGAGCAGTGTCATCACGAGGGGGATCAAACATAGGCAGCATGCCTAATAAGGTCCACTCTTCACCCTCTTTCTGTACAGCCACGCCAAGCGACCGGAAGCCACGCTGTGCGAATTCGGTTGCTTTTTGTCTGTACATTCTTGCAGTTTCCTCTGAGCAATTGGTCAATGATAGGACTGCTTTAGGCGCTCCTTTCGTGCAAGTGTAGCGGGTGCCGTTAAGGGAGACATTCGCAACGATTCGTTTCGAGACCGGATCAAAGGGTGTGAAGTTCTCGGTTTTCCACCCTTGTTGGAGGATTTCCTTTGCCTTGGGGTATTGGTTCACCGAGAGGATGGTCACCTTGTCAATGGGGTCGAGCGAGCGCACATTATGAGAAGATGCGAGAGCAGCGACTGCGAACATCCAGTTTACGTCGACTCCTTCGGATACGAAAGGTTCCCGGATGCTGAGGCGATTAGCGGTTAGGGTTCCGGTTTTGTCGGAGCAAAGGATATCGACACCCTATTTATTGTGTTGTCAGTATCTAAAATATATGACAAAGAGAGGTAACCTAGAAGTCGGGTCCAGGACAAAAGAGAAGATGCCCCTAGTAATACTTACAGCAAGCGACTCAATAGCAGTCAATTTCTGAACAATAGCCTTTTTGTTCGCAAGGTAAGCCGCACCGACCGCCAAGGTGGTCGTTGTAACGACAGGCAGACCGACTGGGACTCCAATGATCAGGATAGACAGGGTGTAGAAAAGAAGAGTCTGTTCACCAGGCGAGGCAATTGGGATGTTTCTGAAGAAGCCACCAATCCAGACTGCCAGTAGCCAGGCCATGACGATTACCAGCAAGGCAGTTCCAATGCTATCCATGACCATCTTGAAGTGGCCAGTATCTTTTGCATTCTGGACCATTGAAGCAGTGCGACCAACAAAGGACTTCGTCCCAGTGGCTTGGACGACTGCGTAGGCTTTTCCACGCTTGCATCCTGTTGTGTAGAAAACTTGGTCACCAACAAATCGATCGACGGCAAGAGACTCTCCCGTAATAGCAGAATGATCGCAGGCCAGGATAGGATAGCCTTTTTCATCGTCGTCAGAGTCATCCTCGCCCTCCTCGTCATTGGACTTTTCGGCGTCCTTTTCCAATTTTCCTTCGCTCCGCAGTCTTTGGTATTCACTCCATCCTTGGTCGGGTTCGTCGTAGTCACAGATCACCTTTGCATCGGCGGGGACAGTTTGGCCTTCTTCAACGATGATCTATTGGAACAGAACATGAGCACCTGGTTGCCTAAGTGATCTCGTAAGAATATGCTTACCACGTCGCCAGGAACCAGTTCCCGTGCCAAAATATCCTGCTCCTCCCCGTTACGCACAACAGTACTGCGCATGGCAATATCGGCCTTCAGACTGGCAACCACATCCTCAGCCTGCTTCTCTTGATACCAGCCAACTGCCGCGTTCAGACACAAAATGCCAATGATGACACCAAAGTCAATCCAGTCCTTTAAACCCGCAGCAAGTAGAATCGCAATCTCCATGACTAAAGCACAACAGTCAGCATATACAAATCACCAGATCAGTAACCAAACCGATCCTCATGTCTTACCATATAGGATTGGTCCCTGAAAGTACGACAACAACCTCGCAAGCGGATTCTCCTTCTCCGAGCTCAACTCATTGAACCCTGCCGACCGTCTCCTCGTCTCGACCTCCGACCCCGACAACCCATGATGAATATCAGTCAGGCGCCACTCTTCCGGGAACTCGCGCGACGACCCAACGTGCTTCCAGCGAAATCTTCTCTTCTTCCATGGCGCATACCACACCCGGCTTTCGCGGATTTCTCCCTCTCCGGGATCATTCGCGTCTTTCTCGCGGTACGTGGACATGAACTTCACCAGTCGGGTGTACTCGTCAAGTTTCGTGTCTGACCGGGCAGACCGACTGGAAAATCGGGAGGCACGACGCGAACCGGCATCGCGTTCGACGTCGCCGTTAGTAGACATACTGAGGGCGATGGCGCAGCCGTGGGTGGTATTACTCGGAGGGAAAGAGAACAGAGAAATTGTAGCGCGGAAGGTCCAAGACTGCACCGTGGACGGAGTTCGGGGATTAAGGGGACAGGAACAGGGAACGACATGCAGTTTTGTACACGCAGACAATATAGGCGGTCTTTAAAACTTTACTGGGATCCTTGCTCATCCTGTTTTGCTGCTTGCTGCCCGGTCGGAAATCGGCAAGCTCGGAGATACGAAGCTGAAATACCTCATGACGTCGCGTGCTACATGCTGCATGCTCGCTGCAGGTGTCTCACTGGATTGTACGCCTGAGCTGTTACTCTGTATTATTTGGCCATTCCGAATCGAGTTAGAAATTGTCGTTGACTGTGTCTAGGATTAGCTGTTATTGGGGGATGGTGTGGAGCTTGTAGCTGTCGCTCCACTTGCACATTGATGCCCAGGATCGCTGGCATTGACCCTCGGTCATTGCTTAATGTTCGAATTGATCTGAAAATACCTCAATGTGCTGTTGGGGTTATCTACCATCTCAAGATCTCACTTGATACTGCTATCTACTGCTCATCGGGATGAGGCTCAAGATGGGTTGAAAATACCTCAGAGCGGTCCGAGGGTTGTCAACGAAGTATAACGCCCCGAAAGGTCAGATGAAGCTTTGTTGATGTCATGTTCGGCAAAAGATACGAGTCAGTCGACGATCTGTGCGGAGGTCAAAAGCTTGATTGGTCCTGACCCACTCTGTCACAGGCCTGTGTTATCGCCACGTCCATCACTGCCCTTTGCACGCACGAAATGGATGGGAAGACGGGACGCAAATAGGGTCGAAGTAGACTACCAGGATCTCCTTTCATCGACTACAACTCCAAAAAAGTCAGGGTAGTATGAACCGTAGCATCACTATAGAATAGGAGAGTTATGCCCTTCAACTCACGCGATACATCGTCATGCGATAGCAACTCTTTTGTTCTTCTAATCAACGATCTAGACCCAGATCCAAGCATGTCCTCCATCCATATCCGTGCCCCGTTTTCTCAGCCACGGCCAGATCCCGCCATGCCGACGGACCGAACCCCTGCCAGTCCCAGCCAATACGGCCCAGTCGGATATACGGCATATGGGGTTCAGCTCCATGATAGGCCTCCAGACCTTCATCAGCTTGGCAAGAAACCGGTCTCGAGCTTCCGAGAAATCCGCGATTGCCCCGCGGAATCCCCCCTGTCATATCCTCGCCAATCAACTACTCAAACCTTCAAGGAGTGCATGTTGACATCACTATAATAATCATCTTATTGGTTTCCGTTGCCGGAATGCTTCGTGATATGAGAGCTATGACAAAATCACGCAGTCAAGGTACGGGAAGGTAATTCGGGTAGATGAGGGATTTGCTTGGCCATTAGGACTGGGCTGCTACATATTATTGCGGGAATGCCAAGGTAGTCTTTGGATAGACTAGATTAACTTTTTCACTTTCAGAGTATCAATAAACGGCTTAGGCCTCTGAAGCTGCGGTCCATTCTCTGTTCTCTTAGTACACTTATCCCGCCTATGCTTCTGTCAGATCGGGACGGTAGTACTTCTTCACCCCCCTCAAGTCACAATAATGTGAGTAACACACGCCTCGTAGATACCATACAGAACTTCAAGCATAACCGCAGATCATATGAAAGCAGACTTTATCGCACAGCTTCCAACCTATTCAACGATCTTCTTCCTCATTCGCACAAGAAGCTCACAATGCCAGCCATCAACTTCCCCCGCTCGGCCACAGTCCTGTCTCACAAAACCATCGGCAAGCGAAGCTGGGCTGGTGAAGAACCCGGTGTGATTCTGGATTTTGTCGTGGTCTTCATCGTGCTCTGTGGGATTTTGGGCCTTATCATCCAGAAAGCGTGGCGGAATCGTCAGGCTGAGAGGGCGGAATGGGAGATAACGGAGATTAAGGATTAGTGGGCAGTTGACATTGTCGTTATACCCGAATTTGAATGTGCGCCTGACGTGAGCGTTGAGGATGGTATCTTGGAACTCTTGATTAATAGCTAAATTAATACGCTTGTGATGAGAATTGATGTAGGGTATAGTTCACTACTATTTGCGATCCCTAGGCCACCAGGCGCGTTACTGTGTCGATGCGGAGGCGGACCGTGTGTACTCGAGGTAATGTGAATAGCAGGTCGCTTGCTGCAGTGATAAATTGTCCAAATATGCACTGAATTATTCCAATATATACAGAAGTAATGGTGTTTAGAAGTAGTCTGTGGTCTTTCTATTTTTTTCATGATGATTATGATGCTTGTACCTCCCTGATTTGACTATCTACCATGACATAAACTGCTTCCGTTGTACTCCAACCATAGCAAAGTTTATCAGCTTGGAGTTGTGTCATATCGTAGGAAATTCCCAACATACAGTGTTAGATAGTATTATATAGCATATTGGGTAAGAGTTCAGAGCACTTGTGTCTCATCGGGCTCAAGGCGAGTCACTACTGTGTAACTACCTTGTTGGTACTGCAAGTGTCGTTTGCGGAAACCTGTAACTACGAGCAGATGATCAACTCAGCCTAACCGATTAAGACGTCTTGACAAGCTTAGCACATGGCGGCCATGTGGGACGTATGTTCCACGTGCGAAAGCCCCTCGAGATCCTGAACCCGGAAAACCCCCTTGATTGGCTTTTGCCAAGCAAGGATTCTCATGTGGGCAATGGCTGTCCTGGAAATATATGCGCATGAGCGTGGTTGGGGTACGCTTTCCATATGACTCACCATAATAACCCAGACACTGGAGAGCGTACAGGATACAAGCAGAGCCAATCACAGCTCAATTTATCTAGGAAGGCTAGTATACTCCCATGAGACTGTCATTCTTTTGCTAAATCATCAGATTGGCCAACCGGTCCGTAGCTATAGGGTGGAGGGTTTGATATCGCATCCCGATTTAATGAACACTCTGGTATCCTACCACATGATAATATGATCAATATTCGAGTATATAAGCCACAAAACTTGATAAAAACTAAGACTACAATCACCCTCAATCAACCAACGCATACCTAGGTATACAACCCCCCCCCTCCTCCCCCCCAAGACGAACCCTAATACAACCCCTCACACCTCCAACTATCCGCCTCCCCCACATCCCATTCCCGATATATATCGCCTGCTTCGGCCACGGGCAAATCAGCCTCTGCTTAACAACATAATCCAACTCATTCTCATCATGAAACTTAGTAGCAACCAAATAATTTGGCACCGTACCGTTCTCCACCCATCCAATCATAGCCAACAACGCATCATGCTTCCCATCATTAAACCCCTTCCTCTCATGAAGATGATTCCCCGACCCATCACTTCCAATAGTCGACGCCTGTGACAAACCACCAATATACCACGGTGCCTCCATATTCGACGGCGTGCTTCCGCAATGCTCCATTCCTGGGATCAAGTAGAACTTGTAGAAGTCATCTAGATCAATGCCCTTACTTTGCAAAGTCCGCTGAACCTGCTTGTAGAAGTAGACGTTGCGGCCGGTGGGAATGGACGGGTCCGCGAGACCATAGTAGTGTATAAGTTTCGAGCCGCGGTTGTAGAAGGGTGAGAAGTCGAAGTTATCTGCTGTGGCGTTGCCGGGGTTCATGGCGTCGGACATTTTGACCAGGGATGGGTTCCAGTCAGCCCAGATGAAGTTCGTGCCTTGTTGGAGGAAGTATCCGATGTAACCGAAGTCCGGGGTCTGGCCCCAGCCGGTTTCGGAGCCGATTTCGTAGTGAGGGAAGATGAAGGCTTGGTTGGCTTCGACTTAGTCGTTGTAGTAGTGGTAGAGGGTGTCGAGTTGGGCGTTGGTGAGGCAGGTGTTGCTATTGCTAGTGGTGGCGTTGGCTGGGCAGAGCATGGTTTCGAGGTTGAGGTTGCGGCGACGTGAGTCAGAGATTGTGTTGTCTTTTACGCGGCCTTGAGGATCTGTGTTTGTGGGTGAGATGTTATGAGAATGGTGTTCGCATCATAATGGTAGGTTAAGGGGAATGGGAAGCGTACCACACTGCTTCGGAGTCTAGTTGGCAATAAAATCGAACAAGTCGGAGCTAATATGATGTGTCGAGTGCTCTGGCAAATTGTACTCCGCAGCGTAGATGTTGAACAACAGCAGGTGAGCCGTCCACCATGCCGGAGCACCGACGACTGCGCCATCGAAGTCGTCTGGGAATGCTTCAATCTCCTTCAACCCCTGACGACCGCCGGTTGCGCAGCCGTTGTAGTACCTGTAGTCTAGGGGCTTGCCGTAGTAGGCGGCGATGACCTTTTTGGCTTCCACGACGGAGAGGTGCATTGCGCGCCAGCCCCAGTCGACGATGGACTCAGGGTTCTCAGCCTAGGACTTGTCCAAAGGCAGAGTCGTGGCCGGTACCAGTGGACATTGCAACGGCACCGTAGGTAACCCAGCGCCCTGTTTTGGAAGTCAGAACGTGGCCCAGATTCAAGGAAGGAATTGCCTACCATTTCCGCGTAAATGACTCCTCCTGAGAAGGCAGAGTTGCCCGAAACTCTATCAACTGAAACTAGGCCTGGTTGGCATGTTTTGTAGGTAGTAACTCACACCATGCGTCCCTGCCAGGTATCTGGTAGGTACAAATCAAAGTCGAAGGTGGTGTTGGCATAGTGGGCATTTCAATCTGCACAGCACAGAGGGCCGGTAGCTGATACGCTGGATTGGGGAAGCCGGTGTCAGCTGCTGGGGGCGTGAATGTGCCATTTTCGGCCACGCGCTTGGCTAGTACGACTGAGGAATTGGCAGGCACAATCTTTTAAAAGGCTTCGATCGAGCAGTTGAGGGTGGCATTGGTGAGACGAGCACCTGCAAGCAACGCTGTGGCTGCTGCGGGCTTCTTCATCGCACAAAGCAAGAATGTCAAGTACGTTGGAAACAAAACGATCTTGAACGAAAGACAAGACATTCTGGGTATGACCTTCAAAATGACTCGCAGGCTCGAGTATTCATTTATCTTTTATCAAGCCAAGAAGACTTGATACTCAGGGATGATCCTCTTCAAGAGTATTTGGAGCATCGTCGTTCAAGCCCACTCTATCCCTTCAATATCAACCCAGTAAATTCGCATCAATCGAAACGCTTAGGCGTCAATATATCAGAGCATGACGATTACCGATAACTACATCTTCCACCGTACTTATAAACACAAAAAGTGGATATGGAGTATGTTCATCCCTGCAAGGACTAATTTGAATCTCTGAGCCAAGAGGTTTCAGCATCGACGCTAAAATTAGGCCTCAGCGGAAGTTAACCGAGGAGTTACTAAATATTTATGCCTCCGTACCGGCCTCCACGCGGTCCAATTATGATTGTGATAAGTCTGTGTCGGACGTCGGATGTGGTTGTGGTGGAATCCCCGATCTCCGGCTGCCGACTTTTCCGCATGGGTCCATCCGCCCACTGATCGCATCTTATCAGGGCTTCCAGGCGCCAACAACTGAGGTATGAGAAATCTTGATTAGTTGAATAGGGTGGGTTAGAGGGCGAGTGGAGACGCCTACGCGGCAGCCTATAGTAAGTCCCTGAGGGTCCATTCAGGGTTGACGACCCTGACGATTTTTCCCCTTTTTTTCTTCTTTTTTTTTCTTTTTTCTTTTATTACGTCCATCGTGTCATTTTTACTGGATACAGGACGAAATATACTGTGCGTGGACTGCGCATCTTCGGAAGAATTAGGGACAAGGTTCTTAAGACTAATGATCAGAAAAAAATAAGAATAAATTGTTTCAACTCAGTACGCGTATGCAAAGTCCGCTGTTGGCATTGGCTATAGACTGCAAGCCAAAGAATATATCTACCGCTACCACGTAAGCTATTGAAGCTGATTTACTCTCACACAGGTTATATCCCCATATTCTGACCCACTCGAGGTATTTAACCATTCGACATTCTGGCTGAACAAGCTCCGGATTAGATCAATTCGGGCAGGCTCTGCAACCTTTCCAGCTCCCCAAGAGTCGCCAAGCTACATGGGCGTTGCATTTTCCTTACTGGGTGGCCAATAGGCCAATCCTTCGCCATTAGGGTTGTCATTCTTGATAGAATTGACCCAGTAGCTTTGCAGGACGTCCGCAATAGCATAGTCCGTCTCCGTCCAATCAGAAGAGGCATCGGCATACGGCAGAGTGTGGAACCCGTATTACAGCTCTAAGCCATGGTAGGCACCACCGTTTCCGTTAGGAGGCACATGGGTCAAGAAGTAGGTATAGACGTCACTCTTCGCTCCTCCAGCTGTCCAATCCTTGGCCCAGTTCCAGGTACCTGTGCGGCTGAGATCGCAATAGTACTCGTTAACCATCGCGTCGGCCTGAATTACGTTGCTGGCAGGATAGAGTTCAAAGAACCGCGACGAAAGATTGCCATACATCTTGGTGAAGTCGGTGTGGTACTCGCTCACGGTGTAGTCTTGGGAGTTGCTCGCACCAGACTCGTCCTTGTTATTGTAGCAGTCATGTATTTACAGGTCATATTGGGTAAGTCATTGGCATCAACCTTTAGACCGTTTAGGCCAAATGTAAGACATGCCGGCATCAATATGGGAATGGCACGCTATCTTGCATCGACTCATTCAACCGCCACGGTTCGTCACCCACTGGTAATGGAAAAGTGCTCTCCCCGATATCCCCTTCTACTGGCTGCATCTGTCCCATATACAAGACTGGTGCGTTCACAGCAGGGAAGGGCCGTGACGGATCAACCCTTCCCGCGGCATCGTCTACATACCACGGTTCAGCATATGCGGGACCCGCCATGCCACTCCCGAGCGAGGGTAGTATGGCAGCTGAGCCTGGGCCACGGTGAGGGTCCAACATGGGGACACCCGACGCTGGTGGAGGAACTCCGCCGCGTAGATAGGTATGTGTATCACTCGGGCGAGCAATTATCCGTTTCTGGATCTGTTCAAACCACTCTCTATTTTTGATCGCAACAACGTGATACCATTTGCTCGGGACGCGGTACTTCTGCTCTCCACTCGCTCGTAATAGAGCTTGTCCGACGCGGTCCAGGTAACCGTCAACGTCCATCATCTGGGAAGAGACCACTTCACCTAGAGGGCCGAATTGGGCCGTGTGGTATATCCGAAGTAGGGATGAGATGCCCAGGATCATTCGCGTGTAGGTCATGTTAGGTAGCTTGCGCAAGGTAGAGGTGTCGCATTCTAAGAAGGCGTCTAGCATCTGGTGGGAGGCCAGCAGCCACTTCGTTATTATATGGACCCGTGCAGCCGTTATAGGTGCGTTTGCTTTGTGTCTTTCCATGTCCCCTTCTAAGGGTGGGAGGGTGTAGTATTTGCGGGTTGGAGCGTCGGGGTCGCGGTAGCTTTCACCAGCGGCAAGTTCGTAGATGGCGAGGTACATGTGGTGATATTCCAGGTTCACCCATGCTGGGATTATTGTATAAGCAGGATTCCATTTATGTGTGGATGCGACTTACTTGTGAGCATGTTTTTCGGGGTCGTCCTCTTCCAATGAAGCATTCGAGAATCGAACCAATTCAGGATTGGAAGCATCTGCGACTCACGAAGGGAAACATCCACTAGGGTATCGTCGTGGCCCAGTGAGGATAGTGTATCGTCAACGATCCGCTGAAGGCCAAACCATGTTGCTAGTTGCTGATCTAGGGCGATTGTAGATTCTCTCAGGTGGTGTATGTACCCGTCTATCACATCATTGAAACGGAGCATATTCGGTCGATGCGTTCGAATCCCTATGCTACGGCTAAGTCAGTCGTGTAACAACTATGTGATAATCAAATAGTCCATACTTGGACGCGAAGTGATAGCAGCCCAGTACGGCACGCGCCTGGGCACTATGGATGAAAGCTGGTAAATCACCATATCCGCCATGACAGCGGTAATTTTTTCGTCCCGCTGGTCCAGCTGCTATACCAAGCTCTAGAGTCATGGTGGTCGCAATGTGTGTATATTGGTAATATTGACCCTGCAAACGTGACTTTGGGGGAAAGTAAAAGATAAGCATCAAGAGGATTGATTGAATCAGCTCCAGTGACTTTTCCTGCCTGAGGAAAAAACGTTCTGCATATACCTTGAGCATCTCCTCATTCAAAGTCTCCGCCAGGTGAGGATCTAAGGTCAATGAGGCAGCAGCTAGAATAGACAGGAAAAGCACCGGGCTCGTTCTGCGCAACGATTCCGCAGTTGTGTTTGATGGCAGCACAACCATAGGGTAGAGTTGCATCTGTTCGTTGATGAAGAATGAGACCAATGTTTGCGCCATGTCAAGCGATACGATGCCGCGATCAACCACGTCCCCAGAGCCAGCTGGCGACTGCATCGGGGTCAGGCTACTGTTGTCAGGAGCAGGCTCGGTAGCAGGATTCCAAGCATGCTGATCTGAGTCACTCTGAGCAGAGACATTGTGGACACTAGGGGGCTCGATGCGCGTAGATAATGAGAGGGCGGGCAAGGACGCTACGTCGTGGCCAGACGCCCCCGGAGGGTCAGTAACTGCGGGAGCGGCAGCGGAATCATCTGCCTCTTCCCCGCGGTCTGAATCCGGTCGGATCTGGTCATGTAACAGGGAGCGCAAATCTCGCACGTCCCTTTCCAACTGGGCCACTCGTGAGCCAGTCTTCTTCCGTGGCTGTCGCCGGAGCGTGCGGGCAAATACGCAGGTTCTTCTCGTGCGGGTACAGCGCTGACATTGACGCGGGACGTTGGGATCCGGCAGACAGCGTACTTTGAGCGCCCTACAACTCTCGCACGACTGATTTAGCGGGGGCAGGGAGTTTGGTAGATTGAGGGAGCGATAGCTAGAGGGCATAGAGGCCGACATTGTGCGTGTCAAGGTTGTATTTCATGAGGCAGCAATGGTCTGGAGAAATATTTAAGAGGGATTGCGTTGCGCCAAGCCCAGTAGTGGAGGATTGAGATGGACTCGGATTCCAAGCCGCGTCTGTTGGTTGGGGACCCGCTTGATGCCGATCGTCAGTCACCCTTGTATCCATTTTGATTAGACAGGTTAATTGCTCCAAAGATTAGATGGAGGTTTCACAGCACGGGTACCATCGAAGGGACAATAGGTTACGTTGGCAGATATATACTAAATCAGGGACCAGAAATGAGACTATTTTCTTCAGGACACTGACCTGCAAAAGGTGGACCTTTTCGACGGTCGGAAGTCGGACGTCGGAGATACCTTTGGATCCCGAAGACGAGCTATTCCCAAAATGGATTATGCGTGTCACGGCTCTTCCGATCCCCTGTTTTGTTGTGTACTCTCTGGTTCTTCCCTGCCGGGGTTGAGCATCTACGAGCTCTACGTAGTTTCAATAAGAGGTTATAGTTATCTATCATGTGGCATAACCGCCATACTCTCATAATCCATCGTCGCAATAAAACGCAGCTTTACCAGTTATACAGTCTTGTGGGGTTGGACACCATTATCGCCTGCCACTCCTCTGTACTAACCCAGGACCGCAAGCTCTTCAGCCATTCCGCGTCATCGATGACCAGATATGGGGTCTCTGTCAGTGCTTCTTCACGCGTACGAACCTTCATATGCGGGGTATGAGGCCTAGAACCAATGTTAGCAGCGAATCATGATAGTGCTTATTCTAAAACCCTCACCAGTCGCTTCCCCAAAGGATCTGTCGCGGGTTGGCATCCACATAAGCGCGCACCAGTGGCTTCACGTCTGCATAGCACGGTGCTTCATGACTCACGCGGTATGGAGCGCTAAGTTTCACGTATAGAAGTCCAGAACGGACCAGATCCATGATTTCCGTAAACCCGGGCTGTCGAGTGATATCTCCCTCGTACTCTGCAGGCAGCATACTAGCGGCCTTGAGCAATGCAAAATGATCAGTGACCAGATGAAGGCTAGAGGACCCCATCTCCTCCTCGATGATAGGCTTTAGTTCACCCCAGAACTCAGGATGCACGTGAGTGAATGCTATACTCCATCCTGGACAGTGTGGCTTAATAGCTCTGATGTGGGCACGCAAAGCTTGTTTCTGTCGTTCCACATCGTGCATTGCCTGGTATTGGTACAAGTTGACTCGAACACCTCGGATGCCCCTTGCGTGCATTTCCTGGAGCTCCTCTGGTGTTGTCGTCTCTGGGTCAATGACTCCAATACCCCTCGTTCCCGACTCCCCTAACTCGCGGACAAATGTTTTGAGAGATGTACAGTCTGACCCATATGATAATCCATGCGTGAGAACCGAATTGGTGATCCCAATCTTGTTTTTGAAGGCGAGAAATTGCTCGACGGTCGCGGGTGGTGGTGTGAGATGTCTGTCAGGGGCGTAGGCGAATTTTGCCGCTACAAATACGATCGCATCAGTATGATGTTACTTAGTAGAGTGTTAAGCTTATGAGTGGAGTCCAGAATCATACGCTCGAATATGTGGTGGTGGACGTCCCAGCCACCATTTGGAAACAGCACCGGTTCCGGGCATGGTTGGTGTTCGACGGTCATGATGGGCTTCGGAAGAGTTTAGCAAATCTGATACCTTTGAGGAACATCGAGTGAACAAATACATTGGAAGGGATCTGGGAGCTACACGTTATTTCATATTTGTAAGTCTGATTGGCTCGCCTTGTCTGTATACGGATCCATTTCGGGATCGCGGGTTACTCCGGGTCCCAACGGCAGCCGGAGCGACCCTGTCCATGTACTGGGGGTCTCATGCAACACAACATAAAATCTCCCCTCAATACCATGTTGGTTGTGATCTGCCATCTTGTCTTGATAAAGACTTGTCTTTTGATAATTGGACGAGAGATTGGCCTCCCCGATTCTCCTGGCTGTAGTATCTTCCGGTTTAGTGTTAGCACCGTAAGAATCTGGTATCTGCGGTTAGGTCTGATCTGCAGATGATATGCAGCGCTGGAGGCCATCGGACATGCGTTTCAGGAACATATAAACTCCTGTTAATCTGGTAAATTGAGAAAAGTGGCGCCTGCTAGAGTAAGCTAGAGGATATCATCATTTCTGCAGCTGAAGGCTCCCTACTTGTCACATCCCCCTATAAGGTCCCTACTATATTGAAGGCTACGAATTGGCAAGTCTGCATATTGCTTGACTCTGCATATGACCCTAGATTATGAATCATGCATTGTCCATATGTCAGGTTTTATATCTGCGCTTACAGAGACCGCCACTGATGCTCTCAACATGCCCCGAGGATGCATCGATGTGAGCCTGCAGAGTAGCGACATTGGTACAGTTTCCACGTTGAGATGTCATCAATTCCTCTTTGAGTTAAACATGTTGAATTTGAAATAACTTTACCATTGATACTGTATACTAGGTTTATTCTCGATATTTCTTTGCATCATCCAAACTCTTGATCAGCTCACCTGGCAGGTTCATACTATCCACTAACAGTACTCGATATATGTAGTTTCGCATAAATGAAAACTACTAGGTAGTAGAAACTTGACAGCAGTATCAGTCAAGAAAGGTAAAGCTTAAAGCTAGCAAAACATACATTGTGGTTATTAGTATCGCACATTGAAGTCTTAAAGGGTTTGCAAGGGGGGAAGAAGAGAAAAGAAGCAGGAACCAAAACGGTTGTGGAGTAAATAAATCATGTGCCGACGGCCGAGTCAAAAGTCACCCGCCGCCCCCGGCATTTCGCTTTCCCCCACAAATCCGACCCGGTCGCATGTTGCCGTTACGCTGGTTCATCGTGCTTTTGCACACATCATCTCGCAAATCTCCAAGATGAGTCCCCAAGACATAGAGCGCCTGGGGTCTCCTGCTCCGAAGAAAGTCCGGATCGCCTGTCGTCGGTGTCGAGCTAAACGCGTCAAGGTTGGTCCACATTCATGTTCATGTTGCCAAGCTTGTGACTGCGCATCTTTGCTAATTACCTTCCCCGGAGTGTGACGGCGGCATCCCCGCATGCAGCAATTGCGCGCGAGCAATGGTCCCTTGTATCGATGTCGATGGTCGGAACCGTGATATCTCAATTCCTCGCGAGTAAGATCTTCTCATCCCCCGTGGCTTCTGTGCCCTCAGCCGCACTAATTGTCCTGTGATGCCTCAGTTTCATCGTGCAATGCCGTGCCAGAATAACATGGCTCGAACAACAGATCAAACTATTGGACCCGGACTTCGACCTGACTAAAGGGCCATCCGTGGACCTGGGTGAGAACGAATTGGCCTTGCAGTCTAGCTCGGGGGTTCCGGATTGTGGCAATGCTGTCACTACCATGCTTGAGACTGACACACAGAGTCGCGACAAGCCAGCCACAAGAAAACGACCATACGACTTAGTCGAGGACCCAGAACCTGACCAGACCCCACGTGCAGAAGCATCTTCGGTGGCAAATGCATTTGGGATGCTGTCCTTACATTCGGATTCCCGACAACAGCACTACATGGGTTCTTCCTCAGGACTGCTGTTCACGAAGCTCATTGGAGTGGATAGAGATACACAGGTATCCAGCCCATCATCCAATAGTGAAACCAGCAAGTATGGGAGGCATTCAATCTCTCAAGCCTTGAAGCAAGGCTATCGCTCTCTGTACCAGAGCTTGACAAGGGTCTGTCGCTCCCCTCGCTTTCCGGTCACGCTTCTCATCATATATTTAGGAACTCCCTCCCCCCGAGGAAGCTGAAATCTTATTTGCGGTCTACTTCCAGCATATACATATTGACTACCCCGTACTTCATGCGCCTTCGCTAGTCAATGCGTATTTGGCATTGTATGAGAGCACACAGATGGAACCAACGGGCCAATACGATTGTAACGGGTGGATGGAAGGCCTGGAACCCTTCGAGTACAATGGCATGGCTGTTCAAGAAAGCGGTAAACCGTCTACGCCGATATCAGTATTTACAGCCGTGTTTCATGTCTTCATGGTCTTCTCTCTGGCAGCGACCGTACTAACGCGCAAGAAGAACTTCGATTACTCCCCGACAAAATTCTACAGAATGGCCTTAGCGGAAACATCTAGTTGCTTCTCCTCTGTGTCAGTGACATCTCTGCAGGGTATATTACTCCTGGCGATTCATAGCATGATCTGCCCGGCTGGCCTGAATATTTGGACACTGGCACATATAGCAATGTCGCATTGCATTGACTTGGGCCTTCATCGAGAACCTAGCCCGTCTACGGGCGTTTCCAGAACCTCTCTGGCTGTCAAGAGACTGATATTCTATACAACATACTCCCCCGATCGGTAGGGAAATCATTCATGTTCCCCGATACGCTTGAGCCTAACAACGTCATAGAACAATAGCCACCATTCAAGGCCGTCCTTTAGGTATTAGAGATGAAACATTTGATATGCAACGTCCCGAAGTAGAAGATGTCAGTGAAGAATTGTCTATGATTGGAATTTGCCAACTCCATGTTTCAGCGCCATCATCCGCCCATATGACAATGTCCATTCGTCGTTTTAGACTGGATCAGTACATAACTGAGATAAAGCTCCTTTTCTATCATTTACCCAAACAGCTTCGCCCGCTCGTGTGGCCGAATGACCTTGAAAATCATCAGGCACAGATCAAGCTTGATCTTGACGCATGGTTAACCGAGACATCTCTCATACAACCGCCGACCGACCGAGAAGAGGACAGAAAAAGCGTTGAGCATGAGAAACTCAGGTTGGAGATTTTGTACCACTCAGCAATAACGCTCCTTTTTCAGCCTTCCCAAGCATTCCGTTCGCCATCGCCAAGTGCTTTAAAAAAGTGCTATCAAAGTTGCAGTCGAAAGTTACGCATATACGATCATCTCAGTGCAGAGGAACAGCTATTATACAACTGGCGAAACATTCACGGTATATTTTCCTCGGGCGCGACACTGATCTACTGCA